TCGAAGATTCAGACTAACAAGCCAGGCCGCTACTTTTTTTTGTATCGCGGGGCTGCTAGGAGAGTAGCCTCAGTTTTATCCTGTTCGCAAACGGGCGGCAGGTGGAGTGCATCAGCCTCCTGAGACCACGGGTGCACTAATTGAGGAAGCATCGGAACAAGACGCGCTGCGCATCTACCCCTTGCTGTATGCATCTTCGAACCCGTGCGCCCCTGCAGATGTAACTGACGTCGACGGGGGCGCCTCGAATAATGGCGCCTTGTTGCGGTAATTCAGCCAACTTCTATCCCGATCGTTCGCAACAGCTACTGTGGATGTCCTCCTGACTGGTGTAGGTCTTATTTTAGACGAAAATCGAAGAGGCACTTCTAGGAATCTGCGGCTTTTCTGCTCGAACTCAGTAGATTGCCCGCACCGAAAGAATAAAAGATCCGAGAGAGGTCAAGAATGAACATGGTGCTTGACGTGTTTCCCCCTTCCTGCACTCGCACTCGCTAATCATCTATATTCCTGATCGTGACGTCGATGGATCATACAATGAAAAAATACATACATTACATTACTTACCATATTAATTATCTTCCACTTACAAAGAGTCCGCATCATTTTCTACTTACAAAGAGTAGAATAACTACATAAGTGCAGTTACGTGATCAGTGTTTCCCTACATGCTCACATAACGAGGACTTCAAACGCAATATGAAGGCCACTCTACTCTCGACCTCGGAGAAACACGGCCATAACGTCTTTGTTTATCTAGGCTCGCTGGACTCCCACTCCAATTTTGTGACTGCGCGTCACTTGATCGTAGGCGATGCGGTAGCAGTTTGGCTCTACTCCTGCACCTGCATGTCCTTTAATACTAGTACTTCTACGAGAAGAAGAAGAACTATTGGAACACCTAGAACCACAACTCCTGCTAAATTTACTCACCAGACTACTCGCACAAGAACTTTCCATGATGTTGAGATTGAGACTCGTACACGAACTGCTAAAAAGTAACGCATTCTTAGTGTCACAAGCAAGGCCACTCGTAGTGCAAGAACTTCTTCTTCCCAAGAACAGAGGCTCCCTCTTTTATCCGCCTCGCCTTTCCTGTGCCCGATGCGGAGGCTACCATTGCTACCACTAGTAACCCCACCAGCACGACAAGCTTCTTCTTCAACAAGACCATTTATAGAAGAGGACGAAGATGGTGAGGAGAGGACCAGTCTTCCTACTTCACCAATTGTTGTAACTCCTCCAGCGGGTGAAACGATCCCACCTCCCTCAGGTGGACCGAGCCCAACTCCTCTAAAAACAGCCTCTAAAGTGTCCACATTTCTCGGAGATCATGTCTTTTTCAGAAGGGCGCGACCTCGTCCACCAGCACCACTACCACCACCAGCATCTTTTCGAACTTCAGCGCCGCCTCTTTTACTTTCACCTCCAACCCCATTACCACCTCCAGCTCCACCACCACCTTCGTGTCCACCACCGTTGTAAAAGTAATTTGTCAACTACGACTGAGGTTTTGGTCGCCATCCAATTGATGCTGGAATACTCCTGGCTTTGAACGAGTAACCGAATGTCGAAGAAGATGTACTAGACCTAGATTTCGACTCAACATGAACATCAGCGCTTGAAGATGCAACTGATCCACGAACTCTTGGAGATGTGCAGCTCTGAGGCAACAAAACCTTGCCATCCTCTACTTGAAAGGAGTCCTCTGCTATCCTTCTGCTGTTGTAATTGGAAAAAATTCGCTTCATTTCGTCCCGCATTTGCCTTATTTTCAACAGCAAAGGTAGACGATGGCAAAACTTGGCGATTCGCAGAGCCTCCATATTCGATACTTTCGTTCAGCGATATCTTTAGAAGAACATCTTCATCTTTGAGGACTTCAATGCATCTATCACTAGCTAGTGCCCCTATAAAGAACGAACAGAGTTGCGTAAGAACCTCAAGTCTAAGACGAGAAAGACAGAGAAACATTTCAACACGAACTTGGCCTTTGCTTTTGGATCTCTAGATCTTCTTATTTTTATTCATTCGTCTATAATCAGATAGAGGAGGGGTCTTACAGATAAAAAAAAATTGAATTTCTTGTGAATATATAATATTAAGTTGTGACCCAGATGTAAATTTCTTGTGAAATGAATAATTCCTTGAATTGAATCCATAACATCAAAACGCTACCATCCACTTCTTGCTGGCGCAGAATTCGTGTCGCTTCCGAGAGTGCCCTATCCTCAGTCGACCGTGTGACACGCGCAACCGACCAAAAGGTTGGCGGGTGTTCGTCTCCCTGTCCTCCGTCATCTTGAGGAGCCTCGTTTTGATCCTCTTCAACTTGAGGATCTCGAACATGATCCTTTTCTTGGCATAATCGGCTCGTCTTTCCAATTAAGGCCCGTTCTCTCCAATGAGTTAGAGGAGCCACCCCCCACTACTTAGGATAAGCCACGCGAGATAATGAAATGCTAGCCTTAATGTGAAATGTCCTCGTAGGCCTCCTCCGTCAAAGTGCCTACTTCTGCAGCACGTAGTTGTTGCGATAGTAGTAACAGGTAAACTAGTATGAAAGCTTCCCGCACTACTTGATGCTTCTTGATGATGCTTACTTTGTTGAAGTGCGTGGCCAAGTTACTTCGCTCTAGTTATGCTTAGTTGGTCGAAGTTAGTGGAAGGCTTCGTAGTAATGCTTGCCTCCTGGAAATTTGTTGTAGACTTCTGCGAGATGGTAGACTTCTGATGCTCTAGTTGTGAGTGGTAGACTTCTGATGTGCTGAGTAGAGCGACTACCTTCGTTGATCAATATTGACGTAGTACTGCTAGTTGTTGAACTAAGTAATCTGAAGGCTGTACAACGAAAAGGTCAAGAAAACGAAAAATAGCTCCATCGTGAGAGAACTAAGCTGAGCGAACTAAGTTGAGAAATCTCGTTTGTCACTACTTGATGTAAGAGAGAGCTAAGCTTACTTGTCACTACTTGATGTAACCTCCAAACCAAGACATGGTAGTAGATTGAAAACAATTTGTTGAAAATCGTGGGTAAACGATAAAAATTTTGTGCTCCATTAGCTGTGTTCCAAGGAGGGATGTTGGTATTTTCTTGAGAAGTCATTTTTACCATAATACGGAAAAGCTGCCTCGTCTAGTACTACTTCTTCACATAATACAATAAGTTTTTACATCCGAGACTACTTGAAAGTATAGCCTACACGACTAGACGTTTATATCACAAGCGGTGCTCAGAAGTTGGACCCTGTTATTTTCACGATCGGTGTGATTAGCTCGTCCTCTTGCAGCTTCTTCTAGTCTGGTAGCCTTCACGAGTCGCCATTGTAGTCAGTCACTCACTCACTCATCAATCGGTGGGTCCAATATTGACAACAGAGCTCTTTTTCCTCAACCGAAAGCGACCGCTCGCAAAGTCAGAACACGACAGAGATGCTTTTTCTCAACAGAAGTAGTCCCTCTTTCCTCCACAGTATTCCCTCGTTCTACTAGAGCTCTTACCTAGTACAATACAATTGCTGCTGCCGCCTCCTGACGATTACACGATGCCCTTCTCTCTAATGACCAGGCACTTGCAGAGTCAAAAGCTGAAGTCGTCTTCATTTCCAACTTTTCCTATTCGAAATCATTGACGATGAAAGCACTTCACTTGCTTGACTCGATAGTCGAAGCTGTAAATTTCCGTATTCCCCGAAAATGGCATTATGTATATACTTATACTCGCTTTCTTCCTTGTGGTACTATTAGGGTTAGTAGTAGGTGACCCAATCTAGAGGCTCAGTAGCCCTTAGTTGTACATATCAACTATGTAGACTACTAACGCCTTGTCCTGCACAATCTGAGTAGTTAGTCTGCGATAGTTTATCTGCAGCATAACACCACTCGAGAGACCACGTCGACGCAGAAGCATGCTGACTCACTAAAAACTTGGAAAACATTCCTTATGTATCCAAAAAAGATCTAAAGTTTCTACATCTAGAAAGACTCTACTCCATCTAATATGGAAGGCAGACACTCCTTAGAACTCACAAACGACAGATACGAGACTTTTGGGATAGTTGTGGTTAGACGAATAGAAGAAAAACAGAAGAAAAGTTCTGGCTTGTCAAAGGCTTCGTCAGGAAATGAAATTCAAATAAACAGAATAAAACTGAAAATTCTTGGATATCAACCTGAAAAGCGAAGTCCCAAATTTGAAAATATCCAAACTCAACTTTCAACATTTCTTCTCCGACCCACCTCCTACCTCCATAGCCGCCTCTACCTCAATACCAAGCTCTATCCCTATCCTATTTACCTCTAAACTCTAAAGCGTCTACGTCTACCTCGTCATCTACCTCTCATGCTGACGGAGTAAAAAACTGGCCATAGCGATACTTCTATTTGAAAAAGCAAGGTGTTTACTGTCCGCACTACTGCCGCTGGCGTCTCCACTGGTGTTATCTCCATCTCCTTGTATGTCTCCCTTCGAGGTTTACGCGGTAGAGGCCGACGCGCTCTCACTAGAAAAGTGCTTTCTTTGCCTTGCCTTGACTGTCATAAACGACGACTGGTCTCTGGTTGTACCTTCCAAGAATCAGTGGGCGTTTTCGGGGATTCTTTTCCCCCTACTATGCAGTAGTTTGGCGCGAGCATATAGTACCTCCACCGGTGGTTCTCTCGTAGGAAAGTAACTACCTCCACCGCCTACCACAAGGATGAAATAACTAGCAAGGAGACTGCACTTCAGAGACCAACTAACCACCAACGTGGAGCGTTCGTTCCTCCATGTAGTCTCTCAATCTTGCTGTAGTCCATTAAAAGCTTGCTGCTGCCTTAACTGCTGGATGCCGGTCAAAGGTGAGAGAGGAGAAGTAGTTTACAGCGAGATGCGACTCGTCGAAGCTTTTGATTTGCCCTTGATTCGGATCTTGCCAAGCAACGAGATGCTGGACCTCTTCTGAAGACTCTCAAGATTTCCAAATTTGCGGCTTTTGCAGTCGTGAAAAACAAGCTCGAGCTGAAGAAACTATACAAAAACTCGTCACTGTGAACTACTATGTAGTAAGGTCAACAATCTACAACAATCTAGCTACATAGGTGTGCCTGCAACGGCGCAACACGTAGCCGAAAGTGATTGTGGACCAGACAGCTCGTAATGCTGCGTCCCATGGGCTCCGTAAAGTGCAGGAGAGCGTCTTCGTGGTTGTAACAAGGGTATGAAAGCAGGGGTGTGGGATGTTGTTGTTCTGTAGTCTAAATGGTTGTCGTCGATATCCAAATGGAGGCGCCACAAGATTACAAAATGGCTGCATGACGTGTACTGCAAGCATGAATATCGACAAGTCAAGAGCATTGATTTTGTTCTTTCATAAGAAGGTCGCCATCGTCTCACATCCAATCATCTTGACGCCAGCGTAAGAACCAATAAGAAGTGCTCGTAGTAGACCGGTCACCTCGTCAATAAAACCCAATACCTGGCGTTGGAATACTCTCTCAGTTGTTCGTTGTGGGTGTGGAGGGAACAAGCCTTCATCTAACTAATGCAGCTTCTTTTTCGCCCCTCAGAATAGTCTCCTCTCATGCCGCAAAAACAAATGCCGTCTACGTCTTCGGATCCCAATCTGTAAACAGAAACTAGACCACAAAGTATGGAACAAGTTGTTTTGAAGCCATATTTAGCTTGCAAGGTGAAAATCCTTGTTCGCGTTGAGAAGTTGCAGTCTCAAGATTCAAGCGCAATGTTGTCGCTGTACCCATCTAAGAAAACGTAAAAAAGGTAGAGGAGGTGTAACATCAAAATACAACCTTCAAGCAATGAGCCAGAAGCTTCAATGATCAATTGGACTAGTACGTTGAACAATCAAGACAACAAGATCCTCCATCACCATAACAATATGGACACAATGAACTGGAGAGAACTGTGATCGACTTTCGGTGCATGTTCGAGTAGCGTCTTCAAAACCGACGCTGGACTTTCCCGGATTTTCTCGGAGCCGTCACGTCATACCTGGAAGTAAGGTCAAGTAAGGGTGGGCAAATAAAATAAAAAAACTTGCTCTTGTTGGTCTAACAGTTTATGAGAAGAAATACAGGAGACAATAGTTCGAATTCCAAATTCGCCAAGTCATAATGTAACCGCTTGAGAAGTGGCTTCGTCAGTTCCTCAAGGGCGTGAAACGATCCATCGCCCATGGCATGAAGAGCAAGAAACGACGATCGTGCTCAAAAGATAGAGCACAACAGCGAGTATGTGAGGCCTTCTACATCGTACAGGATCTACACCACGGAGTAGAACTCAACGCGACACAACGCGACTTTCTAAGTGCCTCATGATAGATGCTGCTATATATCCAAGGCTGCTCCAGCACAGCTTTTTTCACATTAAGCACTACTTTGCAGTTACTTTACACGCAAGAAAGGAGAATAGACGCATATCGTTTTGAGGAGAATACAGTGGGAATACAGTATAGGTATACACCTTGCCACAATGGGCAGCATCGGCCTGAAAGGATGAAAAATAATCATGCAACTACTGGTACCCAAGAGAAGCAAAGAATTGGAGAAGTCTTATCTGATTCTTTGCGAACGTCAGGAATTGAATTCGATATAGATGAGATATAACTGAAAATTTTGTGAAATTTTAGGTTTTCAAGTGTGAAACTTTAGAGGAAAAGCTCCAACTCACACGAAATCTAGTTTAGAACAAGACTAACACCAAACAGATGACACGAAAAGCTCACACCAGGAAATGAATGCGAAAAAGATGACATAAAACTGAAAATTTATAGAAGCTCTACTTTCAACTTTAGACTTGAATGTCCAAAGTTTGACCAAATGCCCAAATTTCAGCCAAATGCTCAAAGTTTCTAGCTCAAGTCAAACAAGTCTGAAGTATATGCGTGGCTATGGCTAGAATTTGAGACTAACGCTATCATATCAAAACAAGACTTCGTAGACCCACGCCAATCCAAACTCAAGAGAGATCTTAACACACTTTGGCTCGAGGGCCACTTTATGTTTGAGGCTCTCCTTGTTTCGCACTCCTGTATCTTTTGCGCACTTCATCACCAACACCGAGAATTCACTCATTCACGCTGCCACCAACACGATCGGTAGCAAGGTATCACACACCGAGAACTTACATTGACGCCCTTCAACTCAGGCACGCCAACACCCTGAACATCCTGTCACTTCGAAGCCTAGGCTTGACCCCTCTTATTTCGGCGGCGTCAACACCAGTGGCATGATGCGCGTGTTAAATTATATCACATTCGTGGCACATGAAGTCAAAAATAGCAAGCAAGAGTAACGTGATGAAGCGCTTCCACCTATCATGTCTTTCGAGGCGTCCTGTGATTTCGAGGCCACTGCTGAAGATATTAGTCCTAGCTCTTCTGGTAGTACTCTATCTACCAGGTGGACATTCGGAATCACTAACGACGATATTACTCTACCTACCCCCAGTTCTCCATATAATATGCACCCTTAAGTAGATGCAAGCATCCTCCATCGCTTCGAAAGTCGTGGGATACTACTCTCTATCTACTTCTGCCCCTAGCTCTTCGCATGTAGATAAAAAGGCATCCGGCTACTTCGAAAGCCCCGAAGATATTACTCTACTCACTTCCAATTCATAGGAACGCTTTTCCCTTGGAGCGGACATGGCCATGGTGCGGAGATCTTAAGAATACGAGTAAAAACTTCTGCTATTCTCCTTTTTACTTATTGCTTCTTCTACTTCTACATCGCTCTACAATTCTTCTTGAGCTTGAGGATGGTCTCTCCTTCTGTTACTCCCTCTACCTCCTTTGATAGACTAGCCGCTGAGATCGCTATACCTCAAATCACTCACAGAGCAGTCGCATTAGTACGACAGCACGCCCCAAGCAACATGCATCCGTAGCGAACTTAGCAACACTGGTTCAGTGGCAAGACGATAAAGCAAATAGGCGGCGCCAGTGAGTTAGGTAGACCGTCTACGATTATAGCAAGGCGCGCTAGAGTCCTAATATTAAGGTCAGCAAAACTAAGAAGGCTCTTAGTCGAATAGATCAACATAAGAGAAAACTACTGCTGGATGTGCAGAAGTACGGCCTCCCCTGGAGATGATTCTGCAGAAGCAAAGCCCCACAAGAAGAGTTAGAATCTGTAGAAGGCTAACCCCCCAAGAAAGATAGATGTGTAGAAGTCTTACCCCTCCAGGTAGATGTGTAGAAGTCATAACCCCCCCACCACGAAGTCAAAGACACGCCCCCTGCTTGCTATTCGTTTTGGCAATGTGGCCAAATCGCGGCACTAACAAAAAATCTTTTGTAATTAGTTGTCGAGCAGTGCTCTTTCTTCCCTACATAAAAAATCTTTCGGCGTTAGTAAGTTTTCCAGGACTTCGCCTTGTTCCTCATAGCTGGGAGGCACTCTAAGAAGGAGCAAAAGGAGCAGGGACTCCGGTCTGATCAGGTCCTCGCAATGTGCAACGACTTCACACGAATCAACTGGGAGGACACTTAATTCCAGACCACATTGTCGACGCATCCCTAACGACCACAGAAGGCCATCTGCGGAATGCTGCGTTTCCTGCAGTTGGAAAACAGACGCTTCTGCAATTGAAGGCCTCACCTCTAGCCTTTGATCTTCGTTTTTGTCTCCTCGATAGTCAAGAACCTCGCAGCTATTTGGCGAACGGAATAAAATCTATGAAGCTGGGCACTTTTGGTCGACAGCGACAATGGGCGTGGATATGAATGACATTGCTCTTTTCACAGCTTAATCAAGACAACAGATACTAAGGATGCGCCATTTTTGCCGGCGGCACAACTTCCTAATGGGTAGCATGGCGCCTGACTTGGGGACCCATACTCAGTGTCCCGGTAGACCGACGGCCCACCCTATTCAGCCGAGACAAAGAGTATTGACAAATCGCCCATCGTGGTCTTTTCCCGAAGTTGCTTCACCCCTCGGATGCTCCGTCTTTTGCGGTGGAGTACCCCAGAAAAAGTGTAACAAACTTAGCCACCATCCTAAATCAATCCTGTCTGCGCTCGCCTTGGCGGTGTATTCTTAGATCGTTGCGAGAGGAAACAGAAGCGGGGCGCCAGCCACTTAGTAATCCTTCTATGGCTGGTGAGTAACTGCGTGCCTCCCTTTAGTCGTCTCTCTGGAGTGCGTGTACACAGCCCCTTAACTGTCAAACTTATCTGGTATGGCAATTGCCTTTAGTATAAGTGGTTACATTTGGATAGAAAAAATATTGACAAAGTAGTACACGAGGACAGGAATCGGCGTTATAGCCGTATGTCCAGTTAATACAACGCAAAACCGCGCCTCAGTGTGCGTCTATTAATTTAACACAGCCATCACCGAGGTGCCGCCACTGACGCACGGGGCGAAGATTGGGAGCACCTTGTTAGTGTTGTAGAAATAGGATCACTCAAGGATAAGAAAGAGGCACGAGAACCGCACAGCCACTTCCCTGGTGGGGTGGGGAGGTGTGCCTTGATATGATTCCGCAAGCCCGTCACCCGAACAGAAAACAGAACACCCTTCTTCAAATTCAGTCTTCGCCCCTCTTTCGAAGCCTTCTGCCTACTTTTGACGCAAGAACTTGTGGAAATACACCAGAGTAGCCCCACTCTTGATGCAGTCCGCTACACTTCTTCGCGGAAATACACAAGCGCGGTCCCCGATAGACACTTCCTGCCCCAACTGTTCTTGCGACGTAATGGCAATGTCGATCCTAACAACCCTTTCAAGAGTCTGCCGCCCTTCTTTTGTTTTGTATTTACATCCGTTAAAAATGATGGTGAGACACGGGCATAACTGCGCTGACCGAATTGCTCCGATTCAGGAACTTGCTTGCAGTTATACTGATATCCATGAATACATGGGCGCGATCAATACGCTGAAAGCGATTAGTAGTTGACTGCCGAAGCCGATAGCATCAGTCCACTACATATTCGGCTTTGAGGCAAGTAGCTAGAACCCTAAGACAGCCTCCTGACTGCGGTTGGAGGATAAGTCCGAAAAATATTGACAAACATGCGCTTTATCCCCACCTCAGTTCCATCTGCACGCTTTCGCTTCATCTTCAGACATTTCTGCAAGTACCCGATGGAATATAGCTGCGCTAGCACTCCCGTTGGGATGCAGTAGGCACCGAGGTGCCAGCAAGGTTGGGCGGAAGCACTAGTTAAAAAATTCATGCGGGTGGAGAGGATGATACACACATCGACTAGCTGTTGCGGCTAGAAGATAGCAGACACGCGCCACGACCTGAAACTCGTTCACAGGCGAACCCGTGGCCCACTTTTTAACCCCATCTGCCCACCCCTTCCGAAATATTCCCGAAAATACCCCATCGACACATGAGGGAGATGGCACTTCCAGAAACGAGAATCAACACCACGAGCAAGAGGGGTGCACGACTAAAAAAAGCCCACACACCTTCATAAGTTTTAATAGACTGGCGCCGTGTCTCCTACTGAGACGGCAGCGCGCGTTTTTAAAAACTTAATCCGCGAATTGGTTCTATTTCTCGACGAAGGCTACCCCCAGTCCCTCCTCGAAGCATGTAGTCTATTTTTGCCACCTATTCGATCGCCCTTAAGTGGCCAGCTGGTCGCTGTCTGAGACCTTTAATTACATACTTGGCAAAAGCTCTGCGGCATCTATGGAGGCTCGCACGCTGGCTAAAAAAACAACAAAAAGGCTACGCATGCATGAGAGCATAGGCTGGCCTACCCCTTCAAAGCCAGCCAAGCTCTTTGGGGATAAGTAATGGCCCCCCCGCTTCTTGCTGGGTTACAATATTTAGCAGCACCTCCTCCTCGCGGTTTCTTACATTCATTGACAGTAGCAGCTAAAAAGCAGCATCCTTACGAACAGGTTTGCAAATACTTAAATACGCTGGGGCGGTTTCCTTCTAACAACGGCGAGGGCACTAATCCTGGCGCATCTTGCACTTCACTTGAACAGATGGCGGGCTGACATCGATAAAAAAAAAATCAGGGACGAGCAAAAACGAGCCAGGGAGACCCTACACCCGAGTGGAGCATTTTCGCGCAAGCACGGGGAGAGCCTAGCTCACTGTTCCAAGTGCCTACTTCCCCAGAAAATTCCAATCGCCATAGCCGCGCCATCTTCGACAAGCGTACTCGAATGCCAGTGCTCAAGTAAAAGGAAAAAAACTAAGATAACCGCAGATCTACATCTATCAATATTCACAACGAAATAAGGAAACAGAATAACAGAACATAAGAACGACACCCCCTACACCCCGAGAAACGAACCTCTCACAAAACATTCCGTATGATATTCGATCAAGCAAGCCTGCCACCCAAAGCTAATTCTAACTATGGGCGCGGCCGCTCTATATTTACAAATATCATCCCAGGCTTCTCGGTTCCAATTCCACACCAGTCACTGAGGAAACCCCAGGGCTTCATTCATCGGCACCGCCACAGGCGAGACGTAGACGTTGCCGGCTTCTCCGGGATCAACATTTACATCAATAGGCGGGTTCTGCTTCCGAGTGATCGTTGGCGGCCAAACAGAGACTTCTTCCACGGAAGCTCTTAGAGGTTCCCAGCTGTGCTCCCTTGCATTCGGATTGGGTGCCTCTTTGCCTTTCATCTGGAGTATCCAATCTGGCGCACCAACTGGTGGTTCATTTGGATCTAGGCACTCCATGATGGACTTTGGTAGGACCCCCCCCGGGCCACCTTGAGTTTGAGCGCGCGGCCCCAGGCGCTAATATGCGGCGAGAGTTATTCTGCTAGAAGGTCAGCCCCCCAGGCTAGCCCACTAGCGGCATCGGATCGCGCGAAGATGAAAGACGCTGAAGTCTGAGTATCAGCAACGAATTTGAGCGCGAAACAATGCCGCCTGTGGGCGAGTGTGGGGGATTACCGATGAGAAAGGGGGGAGGAAAGAGGAAGAAAAAGAAAAATCCGAAACAAAGCGAGAATGAGAATCGACCGCGAAGCGACTGCTAAGGGGGTAGCGACTAGATTGATTCGAAAGCGATTAGAGAAAGATCCGGCTCCGCGCACTGTGAAAGCACGCGCTGCATTAAGGTGCGCACCCTCCAAGATTCGCGACAGAGAAGACAAGAGACCGACGCCAGCAAAGTGGCCCTTGCCTAAGTTTGTTATAGCGAACGCCTGTGCTTTTCTACCATGGCGGAAACTGGGAGCGAGGCTCCAGGTGCTAGCATACGGCGAAAATGGGTCTGCTAGTCGGTCAGCCATCCAGACTAGCCTACTAGCGGCATCGGCCTGATCACGTGAAGATGAAGGATGCTGCGCCCTGAGCATAAACAACGAATCAAAGCGCCGACGTGGCGGCTGGTAGAGTTTCACTTTCACACTGGTGCAGTACTGAGATGAACAGTCGGCAGCAAAGCGGTCCAGGGCCACAGCGTAGTCTACGACTCTGCCCCCGCACATCCCTGCCCCTGTATCATTCAGGCGGCAAGGCTGCGGAAGACGTGCCAGGCCTCGCGAGATGGCCAGGAATACGAGCCATAGCAGAAAGAAAGTGGCGCAGTCGAGGGGGTGCGGCGTCAACGGCGGGAGAGCTCCAACGAACAGACGGCGGGCCCGGAAGGTGTACGGCGTAGACACTGACCACGCGGCCCACTAATATGCCCAAAGTCAGCGAAGAGCTTGGGCCCAGGTGCTTCATGGTAGCGCGCGACAGACTGGCGCACGGATGAGAGCCAAAAACGGAAGCAGCGCCTCCATTTGGATGGCTCGACCGCCTTACAACAACAGGCGCGAACAATGGCGCCCTCCGCAGCGTCTGCAATCTCAGCGATGGCAACGGTATCGCCGAGGCTGTGGCGGTGGTTATGGTTTTGAGATGTGCGCTGCGAAGCAGCCTGCGGCAGCAGAGAAGAAGGCGCAGCAAGCTGCCCCGGCCACTCGTCACGAGGCATCGCCGTGGCCCTCCGAATCGGGCGAAAACTCGGAGGCGCCACCTCCGACACGAAAGGCCCGGCTCCCTTGCTGGTGTTTCGAAATGCGCAAAAACCGGCCGCGCAGCAGCATGAATTCACTGAACACCAAGCAGCGGGACGAGCACCGCGAACCGCGTTCGCCTAAGCGTGGGAAGGTTAGCTACGAGCCTGCCCAAGAATTTTAGGAGCGCGGGAACAAGTGCTAAAACAATTGGAAGGAAACCACCAACCAAGCACGATGCTGCAGCAGGTCGGTCGCAGACGTTCTGCCAAGGAAGGCACGTCGCCGACCAAGAGAGAATGCCAGAGGCCAAGCACACACTTCAAGGAGCCAGGGCCCCCCCTCACGACGGCGCCCATTCCAGGCAGCCAGCTTCCGGAGCTCAGAGCCGAAAAGGCCTGCATTGGTACCGCTTGGGAAAGTCGTACGACACAGAGGGAGCGACAACGACGAAACGACAGAGAGAACCAGCGGCCGGCCCCTCAGCCCCGAACAGTTTGGCGGCGACCAGCTCGCACATTACTCAGTCACCACCAAGCCCCGAATGAGGCAAGAGGCCCGCGACATGTCACCAGGTGAAGAGGCCCCCTTATTCCGTGCCTTCGTGGCCGCCGGGTTGTCAGTGTTGTAGTAAACTACGGCCTTGCCTGCTGGCCACAGAGCCACCAAAAGGCCGACACCCTCCGAGGGGAGTAGTAGCCCTTCCGAAGTTGATGCCGGTGCGCTGCCACTCAAGGGCGCAAACCCTTTAAGCCGCTGCCTGTCAGCCGAGGCCTCCCAGCCGATACCACTAGAGGCGGCGGCGTCCACTTGAGCGGCGAATGATGGAAGTGCTAGGCGGCAGAGGCCGAGCGAAACCGCGAAGCACGGACCCCCTCATACCACATGAGAAATCTCCTGCCGGTGTAAAAGGAACAAGGGCGCCGACGGGTTGGCAGCGAGCGCGCTACGCTACCAAAGAACTTCACCAAGACAAGCAGGAGCGAGCTGCACAGAAGGGCTGGGCCTGCGACTTTTCTGCCACTGCTTGGGCGCTCCAGGTGAAGTGGCTACTTCTTGCATAGCACAGAGAGGCCCCCGAGTGGCAATAGGCGCGCATGGCCCGCGCCTGCCCTTGACAGGGCCGCCACCTTACCGCAGCCGCCTGCTTCGTACTCACCGAGGAAGCCCGCCAATAAAATAGGCACAATCTCCGCCGCGTTGTTTTTCGAGGTGCATCCTCATGGCCAGCACTGTATCGCACTCATTTGAAGCTAGCAAGCCCACCCCTGGGAGACGCTGAGAAGCTGATACGCGCTCGCACTCTTTGTCACGCAGCTGGCTGCAGACCAGGCTTGTAGGCTAATAAAACTGCCTACCAAGCCGGCTGCCTTGCTGTAAGGAAAAGCGCAGCAAAGCACACAAGACTGCCGGAGTTTGTTCAAACACGCCCCGCCCCTCCTTGGTGGCGGGCTGCTGAAGTGCTGGAAGGTCGCGGCGGTATTTGACCAAGAAAGGAACGCACCAGGTAGCCGGCGAGGGTGGCAACCGGTCTACCCGGGAAGAAAGAGACGGCGCGGGCGAAATGATCACAGCCGCCGCCGCAGCCTAGCAAGCTGCCTCGCGCATTGAGTAAGAGGAGCCTGGGCCGCTTGTGGTGCTCGTTGCCCTTGCGCTTCAACTGTTCAGCAGCTTTCTCCAGGGCTGCGCTGTCACCACCGAAATTGGCGCCCATCGTCGTGGCCCCCTGTGATGAGGTGTCAAGACTGGGCTGCCGAATATCTCACGCGAAGACGGAGGGGCATGCGGGATTACTGACGAGAAAGAGGCCAGAAACTCACGAGACCACTGTCGGAGCAAGGTGCGCCAGCTTGCTCTGGTCGTTGAGCGGCGGGCGCTTTGGCTTTGCACACGCGTCCGCGCTTTCTTGTTCCTTCACTCGTCGCACAGTGTTCAGCGAACCAAGGAAAAGCAGAGGCGACGCTGGGGCCCATTGACATATCTCCGCCCGCCAGCTAGAACCCGCCGGGGGGCGGAGCGGTTTGACTTTGCAAGGATTGACGGCCTGAACGGTGACAACTGGCAGCGCAGTTTGGCTCTGGTGCTTTTCCTATGGGAGAACCTTAGCACCGCGGCAGCCTTTTCGGCGTCCTTCGTGCGTGCTGCTTGCTTGTGGTTGTTGCAACTTGCGCAGGCTCTTCCCAATGGCTGGCCACTGCTGAGCGTGTGAAAGGACGAGGCTGCTAGCGGGTGGGCCCTGGTCTTTTTGCGGTCCTCGCGGGCGCCTTTGCTGCAGCGATTGCTGCCGGGCATAATCTTGCCGCAGATGGCATGGAGCTTGGCCACCGGGTGCCCGGTGTCGCACTGCATGCGCCTGAACGTGGTGAGGACCGCAGGCGCGGCGGGTGCATCGACCACCGCGCCACCGGCTGCGCCACCAAGGGCCATCCATGACCTGAAGCATCAGAAAGAAGGAAGAGACTTCAGTCAGATCCTTCCTTACTGTTTTGCCTCGGTCTAGATCAGGGGCGGCGGCGCCTTAAACTTCGCTGATGGCACTACTGGCGAAACCACTCGAGCAAGAAGAAGAAGCGCTCGGCGTATGATCCACGGCTGGAATATCGCAAATTGGCCACCATTCTTCCCAACCTTGCGCAGAGTGCTCAAACCCGTCAGAAGTGGACACCGTGCCAGGGCTGCCAACCAGCAAGCTGCTTACTTCTTCGAGGGTTTCCCCCATCGTGACTGAAGCATTACAAAAGACAGCCCGAGCCAATTCTTCACACCCTGGGGCTACCCATGGGCACGAAAGGAAGCGCGGTAGCCGTGGGTGAAGTTCTTGAGTGTGAGAAAGCGGCGCGACCTGTTGAAAGCTGCTGTGCCAAGCGAGTTGCTGCCGGCGACTGGTGAGACAAGGTGGCACACTCTCACGCGTATGCCTGTTATGTCGGGGGCTTTGGGCCTGAGTGCGTAGACGGTGCCGCACTGCTGTGGGCTCAACTTCAATGCGAGGAGCGAGAAAGGGCCAGCCTATCTGCCTCAGCGAAGCAGGCATCTACGTCGGGGTGGAGTCGTTCAAAAAGAAAGGCGCACAAAATGCGGCCCGGTGCTTAAAAACGCAGATTGACTCATAAAGACTGCCCTAACTCACGACGAAGCGGCCTGACATAGGGTGCATAATTGTGCGGATTCGCCCTAAATGACACCCGTGGCCGATGCTAATGGTAAAAGTGGCTGGCTCCTGTTGTTCCGTACTCACAAAGAAGCTGCCGGGCCGCATGATGGTGCTGGAGCTGCTAGAACTAGGGCCATTGGCTTGCAGTTCTTGGCTGTCTTTTTGTTTTCCCGTCGGAGAGGCGAGGCGCGGCCGGGATTTTGCTTGGCGCTGGGTTTTGCTCCGAGGGTGCGTAACAAACTCGCTGACGAAGTTAGGCCGCGCGCGCTTGTACGGTTTCCCTTTTTCGGGTGAGATTCCTAAGGAGGGTCTTGTGTGTCCTCAGAAACTAACTGTCGGAAACTTTCGGCATGGTCTTGGCCGGCGGTCTCATCTTGCAAACACAGGTAGCAGCGGCGTCGCGGATGGAGGTACGAACGCACGCGAGTGCAGTCAATTGACACGCGGCACCGGCGAAGGCCAGAGATCGGGAGCACGAGCTGGCTACACTCCAACGGACGGGCAGGCCCGTGCTGCGATCGGTTCCCGAAGAAATGGCGGAAGCGATGCCAGGGGCGACGTGGCTGATCTAGATTATGAGTCTCGGGCATTCACTATACCTCGACTTAGACTGTTGGCGTGGCCGATATTGAAAGGATTTGGAGAGCAGGGCGCCACCTACGAGAGATTGAAGGCGCCTCGATTTGCGCAACGCTCCCCGGCATGTCTCCGCGCCAAATGAAAGCCACGGCGAGAAGACGCCAGTTGGAGCTGAATCCCTGCCACCCGCAGCGCGAGAGGGTCGCAAAGATAGCGGGAGCATAGTCAGCGCCGGCACGATGCCGTCAACATGAGCACGGTGCGCAGCGGTTGGCCGCTACATGCCTTCGCCAATACTTTCACCGCCATAAATAAACCTAAGACATCAGACAACTGCCCAAAGATTTTCGCCGTGTTTGCGTTGACGCCTCCAATGAAAAACATATCCGGCACATTTAGGCTTCTTTGCTCCCGCCAGGCCGCAGATACACCCCGGGCACGAATAGGGCAAAGGACTGGAGAAGAGATGGAGAGTGAGTAATAGCCCGGCCCTTCGGTGGCTCGTTCCGATAGCTGACCAGCATGCCACTTCAGTCCAGCTAGTGCTGTTCAGTAGATAGTCTGTCTGTCACCTCTTGGCTTGCGAAGTCGTTGACTGTCATGGTGCTTTGACAAGCCACCGCCTAGTAAGAATGCACGATGGTGCTGCTGACCGCCAGACTACAGCTGCGGCGAATGCGAGCTAGAGGCATCCCGCACGCCATATCGCTCCCCCCAGGTTTTGAGTGCTTCGCCGTGAAACGCGTGCCCTGCGGCCTCCAAAAAAGGCGACACCAATTGGGAGACGCTGCCGACTTCGACTCTGAAGCCGTTGGCAGGTGTGCTCCTGTTCTTGGCGGCGGCTGAGTCGCTTCCCAACTTTCCAGCTAATTGGCCACCCGACTGCTGGACGTAGGTCGACTGATGTTAGTGGCGAACTTCTTGGCGGAGCGGCTATGCTTCTTGCCCTTGCTGTGTGTGCTCGCTGAGGGTGATGAGGATGTCGCGGCCCGACTTAAGTCCTTGCGGGCAGTCGGCCGCGGATTAGTTCTGGGCGATGGAGTTGGACGGGGAGCGAGTCCAGCCATTTTTGGAAGGCTGTGCGTGGGGTGAGAAAAATTTACGTCGCGTGAAGCTTAGCCGGAAAGCGTGGACGCCGGAGCACTTATCTCCATTATGCAAAACGCGGGCCGGTGGTGGGGGTTGAGTCCGTGCACGTCGTTGATGTGCGAAAAAGTGGTCTGCTAATTGAATTCACCCAAAGAAGCGCCAGAAGAAGGAAACAAGATGGACCCCGCAGCAATTTCCCTAGCGGGCATACCGGTGCCTTCAGTCATAACCTGGCACCGAATGAACCCCGAGGAGAGCCTGAGCGAATTGAGAGCATGGACTCGGACGACTAGGGCGAGATTGGCTAAATAAGCGGCAAGGGATGAGACGCTCCTTCTTTTCAATGGAGGCAGCAAGGCTTCATCAGTGGACTTCATCACGGAGGCCTTTCGCAGTTGCCGCAGATTCTTACACGAACACGAAGCCCGAGGCCTAGTACCACAGCCATCACGCAAGCCGAAGGCTGAGCTTGTAGACATTGAAGCCTGCGGCCTGTGCTCCCTTATTGATGTCGCTGAAAATGGCACGGAGTACGTCGCTGCCCGTCGTTAGGTGATTTCCAAGCCCAAACTGAGTAGCTTCGCCAGCCTCGAGCGACGCGCAGTCGCGTGTGAATGATGCGCGGCGCCGTCTCTATCAGGTCGGTGAAAATGGAATGGGCGTCCGCGACGCGATGCGCCTCTCCTTCTCCGACGGGAGCGGCGTTTTGGCTTGAGGTTGGATGGATAGCTGCCGGCGCAGATAAATGGGCAAGCCTCTAAAGGTGAAGAGATTGCTTTCTGGCTTCGTAGCTGGGTGAGCTGCTGCTCCTGGCCAGTGTCATAAAGGGCGGCGCCGCTTTATTGCATGCCGCCGCTTTGCAATAGCACGCTCGCGCTTTCCGTTGCCGACTTGTTGCGATATCGAATAGCAGTGGCAATTTCGTAAATTTTGCTAGCGCAGCTTTTGACTGTAGAGAAAAAGAAAGACGCGAAAGGGAGTGAGAATCAGAATCGACCATGAAGCGACTGCGAAGAAGATAGCGACTAGACCCAAGAGCTACCAATTGGAGAACTCCGCGGGCTATGAAAGCACGCGCTGCGTGTAGGATGCGCAGCCCCCAAGATTCGAGACAGAGAAGAGACCGATGCCAGCAGAATGGCTCTCGCCTAAGTATGTTACAACAAGCGCCTGCGCTGCTCTGCCATACCGGAAGTGTAGTCTTCGCGCAAACGCCGGCCACGCGGGGTGCTCCTCGTTTGCAGGGGGCCCTTTCCTCCTTCCAGGTGAAGCCGGTTACCCAAAACCGGAGCCGCCCCCCGCGTGTGAAGTGTTTGCCTTTGTCATCGTAGTGTCCTCTGTAAAATGCTAAAGTTTCTGCTTCAGTGCTTCCATGTGTCCGTTTTACGCGTATCACATTGGGCAGTCGAGCGTTCTCGCGCAGAGGTGTGTTCGGCGGCCGGTTGATCGGCGTCTGCTTGCCTTTGCTAAGGGTACGTCTTCCCGCATAAATTTCCGCATCTTTAAAGCTCAGACAGGAATTCTCGAGAGTCGCGTAACGGTATACCAGGCTCCCAAGCTTCCCGAACTTTACGAACTTTACGAGCGCATCTCCATTGGGATCGCCCGATATGACTGACCTGAGAGGTAAATCTTTGTTATCCGTATGGATGGGGGAAAAGGGACGCAGTTCAAACAAATCGTCTTTCGGGTTGTTCGGCTTGTTCAGGTACGGATTCGTCGGCGTATACTGGACATCTTCCTCACTGTCAAAGTAGTGCAACTCCCAAACACCGCGATCCGGAGTGAATGTGATGTGGACGGCTCCTACCCTCGTCAAGTCATCTTCTCCAGCCGACAATTGGAGGAAGGTTCCATCGGGGGCAGTTCGGTTGAGTTCGTGAGCAAACGTGGCATCGCTGGACATCGAGAGCCCTTTCATCGCGCCCCCAAGCCTGCCGCCCTCCTTCGGTTTGAACCCATGCACGCCCACGGCCGTCGCCAGGACTCCACTAGAAACCACCGGGGCCCCGTTTAGCAGGTGCCCAGGCGTGGTATAGTTTGAGGCCACGTGAACGTCCACCGCACCTCTCAAAGAGCGACGCTCCTTCGGCTTCGAGACGAGGAAGGTTTCATTAGCGCCTGTCAGTCAATATGCATCTGTGGTTGGGTGAGTATCAGATCTATTCCCGTCCCTTCATTTGGTTCCCCTATATTCAACCCTGTCAGCCGTACTGGGTAAGTGTGATGGAGCATGCCTAAGTAGAAAAAACAATAACAAAGACCCGAGAAAGATAGAAAAAGCGAAGGCTATCTATCAAGAATATTTGTATCCCCCTGGTCAGCGGATAATCAAGAAGGCACTGCACAGAAGAATGGGAGAAAAAGATGAGACTTAATTGAGGATTATCCTACCAAGAAGTTTGTTGGAAATTCTTGCTTTCCCTTCAAGAGGGACGCGACTTCATTAAGGATTACCCACCCAACACACCACCAGCACCAGGTAGTAGTAATAGTAACGCGACCACTCAACCAGAGCGGCCACGAGGCCGTCAAGAGGTGGCCAGAAGTAAAAAGATCTACACAAAATTAAAGCCCCCGGGCCGATATCCAAATAACTCAAAGCGGAAATCCGGAAAGGAGGAGTGGGAAATTCAAAGCATGAAGGCTCGCGTTCCCTATTCGTGATCACTCAAACAAGAGAAAATCTTCATTCAGTCACTTATAACTTTATCAGTCAGAAATAAACTATTTTTTGCCCACAAAAAAGCGATCACTCCGTCAGAGCGGCCCAGAGGCCGTCGAGAGAGGGCTAGGGGGGAGTACTATGGTAAGATCTGCACAAAATCAAAGCTCCATAAACCAACGGCCCCGAAGCTCCCTAGTATAGTTTTCTAAGTTGCCCGCGAAACCCACCCCCGCCACGAATTTGCTAACCTTAGCCCCAGGACCCTCGGCGAACTCGCCTAAAACGGGCAGCAGCACATCGAGCCAAACCACGACCACCGCCGCAAAGGCCACAGCCTTCACGCTTCCTTACGGGCCTACGGCGTTCAGCCTACGCGTAGCCAATCACGACCGCAGGCGGCTCAGATCAAATTCTAAGCGATAGAGCCAAAAACCTTGCTACTTTTGCGTAGAGTAGCCAAGCGCTTCAATTTATCACCCAGAACTAAGCCTAAAACTTTCCAAATTCAAAAAGCCGCCCCATGGCCACAGGCCTAAGACTTGAGGCGTGGCATGTCACTCGCCTACGATCGCGAATTCGGCCAACGCGCTGCCCATGATGTGTAGCCAATCACGACGGCAGGCAACCTAATTAAAATAAAGGGCGAGAAAGTTCAGAGGGTCTTCTACTTTGGGCTAGCGTGCCTAGATTTTCCTTTTTGTCAGCCGCGGCCAACTTTCAAGCTCGGGGACCCGACTCCAAAACCACAAGCCCAAGGGCCCAGGCGCAGAGCCCCAAGCCTGCCACCCCAGGCCAAAAGCCTCAAGCCCAAACCTTCAAAGCCCAGGCCCCAAGTCCAACGCTGCAGGCCTAGCGCTTCAGCTCCAAGCCTTTACGCCGAAGGCTTCAAGCCGAAAGTACAACGCCCAAAACTTGAGGCCCAAGCCTCCTTCAAGCCCAAAGCCCTCAGTCCAAAATTTCAGAAAAAGGCCCATCAAATCCAGCCACGACTTGGGCCTAAGGCTTCAGCTTGTAAACCCTACGCCCCAATATCCTTACGCCTAGAGCCTCGCCAAAGCTCAAAGCTTCAAACTGAAAGCCACAAGCCTCAGCCCAAGCTGCAAATTAAAAGCTTCAAACTGGCCCCAAGGAGTGAAGGCCCCACACCAAAAAGCTTAAGCGTACAGTCTTGCACCCCCTCAGGCCGATGCTTCCGGCCCAAGAACTTGCACTATAGTCAAAAGAGTAAAAACTCTGAAACACCTCAAAAGCCGCGGGGAATCGGCCTCCTCTGTCAAATTCCGCGGCGCCTCTGTCCCGGCTCCTCTTCCGCGGACCAACTCCGCCAAAAGAGCGCCGCGGCCTGGCGGAAGAGGAGCGGGGGGAGCGCGTCTTGGCGGGGGAAATGCCTCAAGAAGGTGGGCGATTCTAGTGGGGGAGAGCTATCAAGCGCGGCAGTCTAGTATTTGCTCAGAGTAAATCAGTACACCATAAGCACCACAGCAGAGGAAAGCTCTATGCTTACTCCACCGCGCTCTGTCTATCATTCTCAGAAAGAACAAAGAGGAAAAGCAGGCCCCCTAGGCAGAAAAAGATCGAATCGAACCCCCCCAGACCAGCAGACGAAGATGCATAAACATATCAAAAAAAAGCTAGGCGAGGTAGCTTTGGCCTACTAGATTTCGACCTCGCAGAGGACATGGCAGGCTACTGATGCTGGGCGAAGGGGCAAATATTATGAGCAGAAAAAACCGAAACAGCGTCCCCTCCAAACTCTTAACCACACACACCCGAACCACAAACACTCGAACCAAGAGCACGCGACCCCCGTAGAAGCTTTCCCCGCTCTCTTTTCTTACCAACAAACGAAGAGCAACGAACCAACAAGCCCAACCAGTCAGCCCACCAACCCATGAGCACGGCACCCAAAATAATGATCCATCGCCGAAGACCACGAGTAAACTTTCTTATAAGAACAAAGACTAGGCCTCACATTTTCAAATTTAGGCAAACAAAGCGACAAGGCCTTAAAATATAAGCGCTTCGCCCTTCGCGCAAAGATGGCCATACCTAACAAGAGGCCCGCAAGCGCCCAGGCCTACCATTTCGCGGCGTGCCTCTTCAATGGCCGCACGCCGTTAAAAGCCCGACCCCTGTCCCACCGATCAACCCCGCCGGGCGGTTGTCACGTGGGGAAGAGGCCTGGAAAGCAGGCACGCCACGGCGGAAGAAGTGCGCGCAGAGGGTGGGGGATTCTAGTGGGAGGAGTGCTACCGGTCGCCCCAGTCTAGTAAAAATCGCAAAAATTTAACAAGTTGTCGATCAGCTAGCCGCAGGGTGCCATCGAGATATAAAAAAGTTGTATCCCGAGTGTCGCAGGCCCCTCTCGGCCCTATTCTGTCTTATCACTTAGAAGTAATAAACTGCTGTAGAGCCCTTACTAAGAAAGCAACCAAGAAACCCGAAAAAAGTCAGATTCAAGAAACAACAGCAAGCCACATCGCGCTGTGCGTACTAGAAAAGTGAGGGCGTTGCCACGTCAGAAACCCCACTAAGAAAGAAAATCTGAAAAAAAACGAAAAGGGCGTAGAGGTAGACGCAAAGGCGAGAGGATTTTACTAAAAAGAAGCCCTTTTCCTCTAGCTTTAACCCATCCTCAGATATGTTGTAAGTACAGTGACTACTCTTCATAGCATTGACACGGCCAGCCAGTAAGACGCGAAGGAAAAACGATCCATCAGCCAGTAATTCAGACACCGACGGACCAGCGTGAAATGGAAAAAGTCTGGGTTTAGAAACTAGTAGATCTTCCCCACGCGTCCCGCCTGAGACAAGTCAGACTAACAACCAAGAAAAATACTTGTAGACAACAAGCAAGATCTGCTCCTAGTTGTTGTTGTAGTTCTTCCGTGGAAAACACTATAAACCAGACGGGCCCGAACGCTAGAAGCCACAAAAGGGCAAGACCGTGGATTCCTGACCGCAACCACGCTGCTGGCAGCCCACGAATGACAGACTGCCAGCACCAAGTAGAGGGCAGGGCCATGCCTTCACAGCACTCGAGCCCCAAGAAAGCCCTACCACAGCCGCACAGCGAGAGCAACGGGCCCCGCTTCAAAAACAAGGCGCAAGCCCATGCCCTCATATTAGGTAGCACGCAAAAGCGCAGCGGCCCACAACACACAGACACACACACAGACAGACACAGAACACACAGACACAAAACGCACAGACACAAAACACACAGACGCAGAACGCACAGACGCAGAACGCACAGACGCAGAACACACAGTCGCAGAACACACAGACACACACGCAGCGACCCAAGAAAGAACATACAGCACGAACATCTTCTATGATGTAGGGATTCATTGTAACAAAAAAACTACAAATTGCAAGTAACAGAAAAACTTGCCAAAAATCTTAAGAGCAAAGAAATATTAGAACTCGCTAAGCCCAAGCAACAACTATTATATCATCAGGCAAACATCGATATCCACAGAGCGCAGCTGCATGCAGATGAGATAAACAAAACTGCGGCTGCGGTCTTAGTCATCCATGCGGCGCATAGTAGACGCAGGTGTCGCGAAAGGAACATCGTACAGCCTGGCCATGATGTAATTCTAATTTGTCAATTGAAAATCTTTAACTAAGTACTCTCTGCACTTTCATGATCTGGAGACTTATACTTTTTTGGCAGTGCTCCTGCTCATATCTCGTCTTCCAACTTTTAGGATAAAATAGAAGTTAGCACAAAAATGAGGGGATGGGCGTTCGAGGCCATTGAAGAGCCATAAAAGATGGATTTTCACTCTTTTCCCAATGAAAATCCTATCCTCATGAAACTTTTATCCCAATAAAAGAGAGTTTTCACTTTTATTCTTGTAACTCTTATCCGAGTGAAACCATAAAGACAACGCCATCTGTGGAGAGATCCGCCGCCCAGAAGAAGATGAAAAAAACCAACAAGAAAGAGGCATAGGTTTGCCATCCCCACCCTCCACTTCGACGGGGCGCCGTTCCATCGGAATTCCCCTCCTCCTCCTGCAGCCGCTTCACCATGGCTTCCTCCATTTCTCGATTCCAGGCCTCCATCTTTGTCAGATGATGGACGATAGATGCTCGCCTTTTTGGTCAGTTTCCTCTGTCGTTCTCTGAGAGGGTCGCGCGGAATCGATGTTGGGTGCAGATGTTAGTCGTGAGGAGATTGCGGACACAAGTGCAAGCCTGTTCATCAGTAGATAGAAACAAGGAGAGAATCAAAGACAATACAAATAAGTTTGAATTTCTAAATACTAATACGCAACTCCGCAGGGTCTCGGTCTGGCCAACAATAATCAATAAAGGCTGAACTCTTGGCCTAAATTGTAACTATGATGAGAAACACACAACAACGCAATCACAAACGAGCTCGCTGTGGCCCAGCAGTAGAATACCAGAGCGCAGCTTGCTTAGTTGTGCAAAACACGCACAGGCGCACAAAACTAGCAAAGCAACCAAAATGCGCTACATGTGGCCTCAGTCAACCATCGACACCATTAAGGGGGCTGACAATGCGAAACAGAAACACCACCCACGGCGATTGATAAATCAGTTAGCAACAATCACCCAACCCTGCGATTGTTGAATGACGACCAATTTGTTTCGCAAGCAGTATCTATCACCCTTTCTCAGCATAAAAAAAGAAGTGGGCCCTAAACTATCACCCACCCATGACAGAGTCGCTGCCACTCCGTCCTCCCCCTGTAGCTGGGCCTAGTATCTACTTAATAGCACAACAACAAGTGGAAAAACGAAGCCTGACGACGGCCGGGCCACCTTCAAGATTCTGGGTCTTTACGCGCAGGGCGCAACGAATTATGCAACGAATTATGCCGTCAGTGCCGGTTCATGTTGTTCAGGCGGTTCATGGGGTCCCGCGCGAATAAGGAATCATGAGCTACCTGCTCACCACTTCTGTCCTATATATGGCAAGTACTACTTTCTTCAGGAGGCGGGGGCCATGAGCATCAGGGGAATAGCTCCTGGCCAAAAAGCCCACGCTCCCACTTGCTAACTGATGCGCCGCCGGGTTCAACCATGGTCACACTATGCGAATAAAAAGGGAGGGAAGAGACCCACCAAAAAAGAAACTAAACCGCAGTGCCAGAATAGGGGAGACGGGATCTACAGTGCTGGAGAGGAACCCAAGGGCAGGGGAGATGAGATCGACAATGCAGGAGAGGAATCCAACGACAGGGGAGATGAGATCTACAGTGCTGGAGAGGCATACTCGAGGTCCGTGAATCTACTCTTTCTGCAGAAATTTTCATCTACAACTGAAAATTTGAATTTCTGTCAGAAATGGAGTATCATAAATGAGAACTCATTCTTGTTGTTGCTATTCATTTTATATTTTGTAGAAATGATTTTTATCAACCAGCACGTCGAAGGGAATACGGAGTGAAACTGCACCTGGTTACAGCTTTGCCGTCTTGGTCTGGCTTTTTCTTATTTCCGTCGTGACTCCGACTTCTTCTTGATGTGCTTGCTTTCGATGCTTGGATTCTCGTTGTAATAGCTTCGAGAAGAGACTTCGCACTACGTGCAGCGCGATGATGATTTTTGATCCATCGATGTTCTTGTTCTGTAAGTATACTACTTCCTTGTCGTGAAAATACCTCTGTTGTAGCAAAATCAGCGATCTATTTTCTTTAGTCCTTCGGTCCTCGTGTGGTCTTTGTGATCCTGAAAAAATTCTTATGTTTACAACTTCTTCTATGTATCATATAATCCTAATACTCAAAAGTCGCGAACGATTCCGATGAAAAGTAATATGCGATATCGGTGGATATGGGTCGATGATTGAATACGAAATATTACTAGTATGCACAGCTTCTTTCTTCTACGTTGAGGGTTAGGTGGATACAGTCAATTAATCTATTGTGGTGATGCTGATGATGATGTGTACAACTGTTGTGGGAGTGCCTCTAGACTGCTTGATGGTGTTCATGCATTTCAGTTTTTCCGTATGAGAACCTTTCTTAATGAATGTCAATGTTTTGAATCACTGAGAAATTGAAAGAGAATGTTACAAATTTATAAATCTTTTTTGTATACTAAACTAGACCACAGGGGTTAGATAGTATCAGCGAGGATGTGGTTGAGTGCGAGACTATCACGAGCTCTGCTCTTCTCCTGGAATTCGTGACTAATGTGGGTTGGTTCATGGAAATGGTTGGCTCATGTACTATTGGCTGACTGCTTATGTAGTTATGAGGTGTAAGAAGTATCTCCGGTCGTGTTCGTGAAGTCGAAAAATGGAGTAGATGCTGCAAAAAAATCTCAACGATGAATGGAGAAGAGTCGCCGATCATGATTATAGAAGAGGATCATGTTGCCGTATAATTTGTTACCGTGAAGAACATGAGGAACGTGATTTCATGATGATGAAAGTGAGTGCTTCAGCTAGAAATGAGTACTAGAAATGGGTGTCGGGATACACGAACTTTGTTTTTCAGGTCTAAAAATAAGGGCTTTGCATTCCAAAACGACAAGAAGCAGCGAGGAAGTTTATCACCGAGCAACGAGTTTCAAACTCTTGTTCTCTCAGTCACGAATAACCGGAAAACTCGTCTTAGACAGAAACTGATGCAGGGCGCCCCTCATCGATGCTAAAGATAAAATTTCCAGTCTAGTTGTACTACAGACTCCTCTCGTATAGTCACGACGCAAAGCATCTTCTTCTCTGGTTCGAAACAACAGCGCTCGTCTCTCGTTTTTAAAGATCGGCTTATCAAGAACAGAACCAAGGACGCGTCGACGCTAGTAGATTTGAGGACGAATCGCTCTTCAGACGCGGCGTTCACCTTCACTGACGTGGATAAGGTGTATCTAAGATTCAGACTAACAAGCGAGGCCGCTACTTTTTTTTTGTATCGCGGGGCTGCTAGGAGAGTAGCCTCAGTTTTATCCTGTTCGCAAACGGGCGGCAGGTGGAGTGCATCAGCCTCCTGAGACCACGGGTGCACTAATTGAGGAAGCATCGGAACAAGACGCGCTCCGCATCTACCCCTTGCTGTATGCATCTTCGACCCCGTGCGCCCCTGCAGATGTAACTGACGTCGACGGGGGCGCCTCGAATAATGGCGCCTTGTTGCGGTAATTCAGCCAACTTCTATCCCGATCGTTCGCAACAGCTACTGTGGATGTCCTCCTGACTGGTGTAGGCCTTATTTTAGACGAAAATCGAAGAGGCACTTCTAGGAATCTATGGCTTTTCTGCTCGAACTCAGTAGATTGCCCGCACCGAAAGAATAAAAGATCCGAGAGAGGTCAAGAATGAACATGGTGCTTGACGTGTTTCCCCCTTCCTGCACTCGCACTCGCTAATCATTTATATTCCTGATCGTGACGTCGATGGATCATACATTGAAAAAATACATACATTTCTTACCATATTAATTATCTTCCACTTACAAAGAGTCCGCATCATTTTCTACTTACAAAGAGTAGAATAACTACATAAGTGCAGTTACGTGATCAGTGTTTCCCAACATGCTCACATAACGAGGACTTCAAACGCAATATGAAGGCCACTCTACTCTCGACCTCGGAGAAACGCGGCCATGACGTCTTTGTTTATCTGAGCTCGCTGGACTCCCATTCCAATTTTGTGACTGCGCGTCACTTGATCGTAGGCGATGCGGTAGCAGTTTGGCTCTACTCCTGCACCTGCCTGTCCTTTAATACTAGTACTTCTACGAGAAGAAGAAGAACTATTGGAGCAACTAGTACCACAACTCCTGCTAAAGTTACTCACCAGACTACTGGCACAAGAACTTTCCATGCTGTTGATGAGATTGAGACTCGTACACGAACTGCTAAAAAGTAACGCATTCTTAGTGTCACAAGCAAGGCCACTCGTAGTGCAAGAACTTCTTCTTCCCAAGAACAGAGGCTCCCTCTTTTATCCGCCTCGCCTTTCCTGTGCCCGATGCGGGGGCTACCGTTGCTACCACTAGTACCCCCACCAGCACGACAAGCTTCTTCAACAAGACCATTTATAGAAGAGGACGAAGATGGTGAGGAAAGGACCAATCTTCCTACTTCACCAATTGTTATAACTCCTCCAGCGGGTGAATTGATCCCACCTCCCTCAGGTGGACCGAGCCCAACTCCTCTAGAAACAGCCTCTAATGTGTCCACATTTCTCGGAGGTCATGTCTTTTTCAGAAGGGCGCGACCTCGTCCACCACCACCACTACCACCACCAGCATCTTTTCGAACTTCAGCGCCGCCTCTTTTACTTTCACCTCCAACCCCATGACCACCTCCAGCTTGTAAAAGTAATTTGTCAACCACCGTTGTAACCAACTCCACCGCTTGTAAAAGTAATTTGTCAACCAACTCCTTCGTGTCCACCACCGTTGTAAAAGTAATTTGTCAACTACGACTGCGGTTTTGGTCGCCATCCAATTGATGCTGGAATACTCCTGGCTTTGAACGAGTAACCGAATGTCGAAGAAGATGTACTAGACCTAGATTCCGATTCAACATGAACATCAGCGCTTGAAGATGCAACTGATCCACGAACTCTTGGAGATGTGCAGCTCTGAGGCAGCAAAACCTTGCCATCCTCTACTTGAAGGGAGTCCTCTGCCATCCTTCTGCTGTTGTAATCGGAAAAAATTCGCTTCATTTCGTCCCGCATTTGCCTTATTTTCAACAGCAAAGGTCGACGATGGCCAAACTTGGCGATTCGCAGAGCCTCCATATTCGATACTTTCGTTCAGCGATATCTTTAGAAGAACATCTTCATCTTTGAGGACTTCAATGCATCTATCACTAGCTAGTGCCCCTATAAAGAACGAACAGAGTTGCGTAAGAACCTCAAGTCTAAGACGAGAAAGACAGAGACACATTTCAACACGAACTTGGCCTTTGCTTTTGGATCTCTAGATCTTCTTATTTTTATTCATTCGTCTATAAAAATCAGATAGAGGAGGGGCCTTACAGATAAAAAAAAAATTGAATTTCTTGTGAATATATAATATTGTTGGTCAAGGTCATAATCCTAGAAGAATCACAAAGATCCAAAGGACAAAGATCACCAAAATGACCAAGATCGCCAGGCAAAAGGTTACCGGAGCACCATCCAAACGCCCGACGGGTTTACCGTCGCGCGGGTGTCTCTGGCTTCTCCTCTCTCTCTCGTTTGTGGCTCAAGCCTCTCAGTACAGTCAAGGACAAAACAACACCGGAATGATCTCAAAGATAACCCACAGACCTAAATGCATATAGTTCCAAAATCAGTGATCAACAGGCAAAGGACCTTCAACGGATTCAGATAGCAGGAATGATGAATGTTTCATAGCTGTAGTCAGGTCCATGACGTCTCGTCTGTTCTGATCAATGATGAGAATCAACATAGGATGATCGTATGAGTCAATGATGATAGCATAAGCGTTCCCATATGAAGGTTTCCCCATGCAGCATGATATCCCAATGATGAAGCTGAGACTTCTTCCCTGCAACCCCAAAGAACATCCACAGGGATCAAAGCAGCCAGAGATCATTAGTCTCAGGCTGTGAGTGCAAATTGTGCAAACTGTATCACTCTCAAGTGTTTCTCACCGAGGAACTAGACGCGACTTAACAGTCTATGTTCGAATGTATCCAACAAATATTAAGTTGTGACCCAGATGTAAATTTCTTGTGAAATAAATAATTCCTTGAATTGAATCCATAACATCAAAACGCTACCATCCACTTCTTGCTGGCGCAGAATTCGTGTCGCTTCCGAGAGTGCCCTATCCTCAGTCGACCGTGTGACACGCGCAACCGACCAAAAGGTTGGCGGGTGTTCGTCTCCCTGTCCTCCGTCATCTTGAGGAGCCTCGTTTTGATCCTCTTCAACTTGAGGATCTCGAACATGATCCCTTTCTTTGCATAATCGGCTCGTCTTTCCAATTAAGGCCCGTTCTCTCCAATGAGTTAGACGAGCCACCCACTACTTGGGATAAGCCACGCGAGATAATGAAATGCTAGCCTTAATGTGAAGTGTCCTCGTAGGCCTCCTCCGTCAAAGTAGTGCCTACTTCTGCAGTACGTAGTTGTTGCGATAGTAGTAACAGGTAAACTAGTATGAAAGCTTCCCGCACTACTTGATGCTTCTTGATGATGCTTACTTTGTTGAAGTGCGTGGCCCAGTTACTTCGCTCTAATTATGCTTAGTTGGTCGAAGTTAGCGGAAGGCTTCGTAGTAATGCTTACCTCCTGGAAATTTGTTGTAGACTTCTGCGAGATGGTAGACTTCTGATGCTCTAGTTGTGAGTGGTAGACTTCTGATGTGCTGAGTAGAGCGACTACCTTCGTTGATCAATACTCACGTAGTACTGCTAGTTGTTGAACTAAGTAATCTGAAGGCTGTACAACGAAAAGGTCAAGAAAACGAAAAATAGCTCCACCCTGAGAGAACTAAGCTGAGCGAACTAAGTTGAGAAATCTCGTTTGTCACTACTTGATGTAAGAGAGAGCTAAGTTTACTTGTCACTACTTGATGTAACCTCCAAACCAAGACATGGTAGTAGATTGAAAACAATTTGTTGAAAATCGTGGGTAAACGGGAAAAATTTTGTGCTCCATTAGCTGTGTTCCAAGGAGGGATGTTGGTATTTTCTTGAGAAGTCATTTTTACCATAATATGGAAGAGCTGCCTCGTCTAGTACTACTTCGTCACATAATACAATAAGTTTTTACATCCGAGACTACTTGAAAGTATAGCCTACACGACTAGACGTTTATATCAAAAGCGATGCTCAGAAGTTGGACCCTGTTATTTTCACGTTCGATGTGATTAGCTCGTCCTCTTACAGCTTCTTCTAGTCTGGTAGCCTTCACGAGTCGCCATTGTATTCAGTCACTCACTCACTCATCAATAGGTGGGTCCAATATTGACAACAGAGTTCTTTTTCCTTAACCGAAAGCGACCGCTCGCAAAGTCAGAACACGACAGAGATGCTTTTTCTCAACAGAAGTAGTCCCTCTTTCCTCCACAGTATTGCCTCGTTCTACTAGAGCTCTTGCCTAGTACAATGCAATTGCTGCTGCCGCCTCCTGACGATTACACGATGCCCTTCTCTCTAATGATCAGGCACTTGCAGAGTCAAAAACTGAAGTCGTCTTCATTTCCAACTTTTCCTATTCGAAATCATTGACGATGAAAGCACTTCACTTGCTTGACTCGATAGTCGAAGCTGTAAATTTCCGTATTCCCCGAAAATGGCATCATGTATTACCCGCTTTCTTCCTTGTGGTACTATTAGGGTTAGTAGTAGGTGAGCCAATCTAGAGGCTCAGTAGCCCTTAGCTGTACATATCAACTATATACTTTCGCACGGGATAAGCCTAATATTGTCGAGGTGAAAACTAACCGGTTGTTTTACTTAGTGCTTTGAGCGCCGCAGGGCCTAGACCATCACCAAAAGGCGAAAGCCAATCAAGATTTGCAGCACACCTCTAAAATAAAACGAAGGGGAATCAAAGACCTGCTATGGGAGGACGTTAATTGCATAAGATTCAGATGAAGAAGGTTTTTGCAAAAGTGTCTATATGTGAATAGTCACTTTACATATCAACTATATAGACTACTAACACCTTGTCCTGCACAATCTGAGTAGTTAGTCTGCGATAGTTTATCTGCAGCATAACACCACTCGAGAAACCACGTCGACGCAGAAGCATGCTGACTCACTAAAAACTTGGAAAACATTCCTTATGTATCCAAAAAAGATCTAAAGTCTCTACATCTAGAAAGACTCTACTCCATCTAGAATGGAAAGCAGACACTCATTAGAACTCACAAACGACAGATACGAGACTTTTGGATAGTTGTGGTTAGACGAATAGAAGAAAAACAGAAGAAAAGTGCTGGCTTGTCAAAGGCTTCGTCAGGAAATGAAATTCAAAAAAACAGAATAAAACTGAAAATTCTTGGATATCAACCTGAAAAGCGATGTCCCAAATTTGAAAATATCTAAACTCAACTTTCAACATTTCTTCTCCGACCCACCTCCTACCTCCATAGCCGCCTCTACCTCAGTGGGGTCAAGCTTTATCATTATCCTACCTACCTGGAAAGCGCCGACGTCTACCTCGTCATCTACCTCTCATGCAGACCAAATATCGTCCCTGCTGACTGCTTCGTGACGGCACCAGGAATCGGCAGCTTCCTTCTTCTACTCTTGGTCCTCTTTGACGATGATGTTGTCCTGCCAGAAGGACTTGATGTAGTTTTTGAAGAAGAAGAAGTTTGTGAAGAAGAAGTTGAAGCTGCTTCAGTGGTGTGCTCTGAAGATGCCCTCGGCTCCTCGACAGGTAGACGTCGCAAAGGCGGAGCCATCAGAATTCCTTCGTCTTGTGCTATGATTAGAAGCAAAAAGTTCCGACTTCCGGAGCCTATTTGATGAATTTTCTCTCAAGATATTCTGCTGATGAAGACTCAGTATCAAAGATTGTTCAAGAGGATTCTTTGTGTAGATATTCCGCTGATGAAGATTCAATACGGATTCAAGAGCAGAGTCGTATTTCCCAATCATAAATCTTTAATGTCAGACCGCAAGGAGCCTGCCTGTCTCACCATGGGCAATTTGAATCGCAGCGAAATCGTCTGCAGTATATTAGACCCACCTATTCATCGCGGTCTAACTATCAGAATTTATCCGCAAGTCTATTTATCTACTTAGATTTCGTCTAGAAGATATATAGAAAAAGACGTGCGCCAAAAAAAATAACGCTTTCCACCACTCTAGCACGTCTTCAAGGAAACAATTTGACTTTGAACTATCTTTCTGACGAGTATTCGACTCTCTACCTGCTTTTACTTGTGCAACAGCCTCCCCATTGTCTTGTCTTAACTGTATCAACGTGAATGGACACGAGAGCAACTTGGGTGTCACCCGGGCTAACCCGCTGGGGCAACGACGTCTCCCATTCGCGGCATATCCCTCCCTCGTACTGCTCAATCACTGCACTGGGGCCGAGCTGTGGCCTCCACTTGCCGAGGATAGAGAACTACTGCTGCTGCCAGATCGTAGACACTCCACACCATAACTCGACTTCTTAGAGAGTGGGAGATGGGTAGAGCCTATCCATATCCTGTATGAAGTACTTTTACTTACTTAGGTTCCAACAATTCAGCCTCTGCGTAGTTGAACAGACCTCCACTACTAGACAGTCACATCCTGGACAAGCCCTTTTGCTTTTGAAAGCGCATTCTTTTTCATTGAAAAGCCTCTCCAGGATGCGGACGCCTCTCAGGTCATGCATTAATAGGATTACACTATACACACTATTTAAGGATGCGTGTGAAGATGCACTATACAGGTAGCCTTAATTGTTGTTGTCGTTGTCGGCGTTGATGGAAACACGACCCCACCAGAAGAGCCTGCTGCGGCACTTCCTTCATACGTGGAAGAGGAGGCTCCCCCACTACCACTAGTACTACCTTGATCCGAGCCAGCAGTCGCACTATAGCTGTTAGAGCATGACCAGTCCATCTTCATGTTTCAAATTATCTTACTGCAATACTTTGTCCTAAGCGGCGCAGCCCTAGCGACATGAATTGAAAAAGATTGATGATTCACGAAAGAATTACTCGTCTTTCTGTCTACACATACACTGACCGTCCATCTTCACAAGAAGCCTTAACGGAAGTGCCTGCGCCACCAGCACCTCCGCTCTCTGCGGTTGAAGAAGATGCTGCTGTCGCATTGCTTGTGAAATTGCCTGCCAAAGGACACAATAGACGTGCCTGCAAAAAGTGGTGTAGACGAAAAGAAGAAAAACAGAAGAAAAGTTCTGGCTTGTCAAAGGCTTCGTCAGGAAATGAAATTCAAAAAAACAGAATAAAACTGAAAATTCTTGGATATCAACCTGAAAAGTGAAGTGTCAAATTTGAAAATATCTACTTAAACTCAACTTTCAACATTTCTTCTTCGATCCACCTCCTACCTCCATAGCCGCCTCTACCTCAATACCAAGCTTTATCCCTATCCTACCCACCTCTAAAGCGTCTACGTCTACCTCGTCATCTACCTCTCATGCTGACGGAGTAAAAAACTGGCCATAGCGATACTTCTATTTGAAAAAGCAAGGCGTATACTGTCCGCACTACTGCCGCTGGCGTCTCAACTGGTGTTATCTCCCTCTCCTTGTATGTCTCCCTTCGAGGTTTACGCGGTAGAGGCCGACGCGCTCTCACTAGAAAAGTGCTTTCTTTGCCTTGCCTTGACTGTCATAAACGACGACTGGTCTCTGGTTGTACCTTGCAAGAATCAGTGGGCGTTTTCGGGGACTCTTTTCCTCCTACTATGCAGTAGTTTGACGCGAGTATATCAACAATCTCCAACAATCTAGCTACATAGGCGTGCCTGCAACGAAAGTGATTGTGGGCCAGACAGCTCGTAATGCTGCGTCCCATGGGCTCCGTAAAGTGCAGGAGAGCGTCTTCGTGGTTGTAACAAGGGTATGAAAGCAGGGGTGTGGAATGTTGTTGTTCTGTAGTCTAAATGGTTGTCGTCGATATCCACATGGAGGCGCCACAAGATCACAAAATGGCTGCATGACGTGTACTGCAAGCATGAATATTGACAAGTCAAGAGCATGGATTTTGTTCTTTCATAAGAAGGTCGCCATCGTCTCACATCCAATCATCTTGACGCCAGCGTAAGAACCCATAAGAAGTGCTCGTAGTAGACCGGTCAGCTCGTCAATAAAACCCAATACCTGGCGTTGGAATACTCTCTCAGTTGTTCGTTGTGGGTGCGGAGGGAAGAAACCTTCGTCTAACTAATACAGCTTCTTTTTCGCCCCTCAGAATAGTCTCCTCTCATGCCGCAAAAACAAATGCCGTCTAGGTCTTCGGATCCCAATCTGTAAACGGAAATTAGACCACAAAGTATGGAACAAGTTGTTTTGAAGCCATATTTAGCTTGCAAGGTGAAAATCCTTGTTCGCGTTGAGAAGTTGCAGTCTCAAGATTCAAGCGCAATGTTGTCGCTGTACCCATCTAAGAAAACGTAAAAAAGGTAGAGGAGGTGTAACATCAAAATACAACCTTCAAGCAATGAGCCAGAAGCTTCAATGATCAATTGGACTAGTACGTTGTACAATCAAGACAACAGGATCCTCCATCACCATAACAATATGGACACAATGAACTGGAGAGAACTGTGGTCCACTTTCGGTGCATGTTCGAGTACCGTCTTCAAAACCGACGCTGGACTTTCCCGGATTTTCTCGGAGCCGTCACGTCATACCTGGAAGTAAGGTCAAGTAAGGGTGGGCAAAAATAAAAAAGCTTGCTCTTGTTGGTCTAACAGTTTATGAGAAGAAATACAGGAGACAATAGTTCGAATTCCAAATTAGCCAAATCATAATGTAACCGCTTGAGAAGTGGCTTCGTCAGTTCCTCAAGGGCGTGAAACGATCCATCGCCCATGGCATGAAGAGCAAGAAACGACGATCGTGCTCAAAAGATAGAGCACAACAGCGAGTATGTGAGATCTTTTACATCGTATAGGATCGACATCACGGAGTAGAACTCCACAACACAACGCGACTTTCTAAGTACCTCATGATAGATGCTGCTAGATATCCAAGGCTGCTCAAGCACAGCTTTTTTCACATTAAGCACTACTTTCCAGTTACTTTACACGCAAGAAAGGAGAATAGACGCATATCGTTTTGAGGAGAATACAGTGGGAATACAGCATAGGTATACACCTTGCCACAATGGGCAGCATCGGCCTGAAAGGATGAAAAATAGTCATGCATCTACTGGCACCCAAGAGAAGCAAAGAATTGGAGAAGTCTTATCTGATTCTTTGCGAACGTCAGGAATTGAATTCGATAAAGATGAGATATAACTGAAAATTTTGTGAAATTTTAGGTTTTCAAGTGTAAAACTTTAGAAGAGAAGCTCCAATTCACACGAAATCTAGTCTAGAACAAGACTAACACCAAACAGAAGACACGAAAAGGTCACACCAGGAAATGAATTCGAAAAAGATGACATAAAACTGAAAATTTAGAATCTCTACTTTCAACTTTAGACTTGAATGTCCAAAGTTTGACCAAATGTCCAAAGTTCAGCCAAATGCTCAAAGTTTCTAGCTCAAGTCAAACAAATCTGAAGTATATGCGTGGCTATGGCTAGAATTTGAGACTAACGCTATCATATCAAAACAAGACTTCGTAGATCCACGCCAATCCAAACTCATAACTCCGATCCTACCCTCCATTACCAAACCCTACTCCTTAGGTCAACGCAGTCAGTATCAGCCTCCTGAGTATGTGCCTTTACTTTCATAGAAGCGATGCTAAGGCTCAATAACAGCCCTACCTTACACATTTACTACCTCCACTTGTTCGCCGTATTCTCCTCTGGTTTTTACTCCCTCCACATAATAGTACGCCGCTGCTGCTTGCCCCGTCCCCGGTATACCCTGTTACTGTTTACATACTCGTCGGCTCTAATACGATGGCGCCACCAAGTGGCAGCATTACAGTGTGCTGCTAGCACTAGTGCCAGCACTGAAATCCTCACTGCTAGTACTGGCTAGTATCGTTTTCATGACGATGACATCAGCAGGACGAGGATCTACACTAGTACACTCTCGCTGCGACGTACACATGAACCAAACATAGACGAAAGTCTACTCCTACACAGTGTTGCCATTGTCATGGCAAGACCTTCACTAGGAGCAAGAAAAGCATGCAAGGTATAACTGTAAGAGAAAAGCCACACGAGATGACAGTCTTCGCCTGTAAGGCTGATTCCTCCTCCAGGCCAGCCCCCTTGCCGTGGCATTGCAGAGTTCTGCTTTTCTGTCAACTCTTGATCCCTCTGTGCTGCACGCTGCGTCTCTGTCGTGTCTACGTCGCCCAGCGAACCCTTTCCACAATCTCAGATGAAAAGCCTGCTGTATGTTGTATGTTGTCCATGACATTCACTTGCTGGCTGTCATTGATCGTAGACGTAGGCCAAGGCATGCTTGCAGATGCTGAAGTCGCTTCTTTTTCGCTTTATCTTCCTATACCTCGGAGATCACGGATGATGAGCCACCTCCTTGCTGCGGCTTATCTACACTGGTTAAAGAATGAAGTGGCAACTCGTAGCTACGACACGATCTTCTTGTTGAGCTGCCTTGCCTTCTCCTAAGTAGACGCACTAGTGCTGCTTGTCGAAGATTCGGCGCAACAGCTGCTTTTTTCAATTCAGCCGCTTTTCTTCGCAGTTCGTCTAGTGGAGAGGCTCGAGGATCGCAGGCATGGACCCCATGCTTCACAAATCCATCCTCAAATCGAAGATCTTGGAGGCCCTTATTAGGGTGCGCTGCTTCATCTTGCTTTATCTCCATCACTTCTACGCTTCCTCTCGATTTCAGAAGTCTGAAGGCGAAGTCTTGTCTGTACGATGAAGATGATTAAAGGCTGACAGTAACTGCCTTGTGCTGTCCACTACTTCTGTCCACTACTCCCAGACTTCCTTGCCAGGAAAGCCAGGATTATACAACTCCGCCGATCCAGTAACAGGATAAGGACCTTCGTCTGACCCAGGAGCCTTTTCTTGAGCTTGAGGCTGATGATCTCCTCGGAAAGATGAACCTTGAAAAAACTACTCACCTCCGCCATAATTTGACGAAAATGAGTTCGAGCTTTTTCACTGAGCCCAGGCGAACTTTCAGCTCCACCTCGTTCCCGGAATCCAGACAATTGATGTCCCTTTGTAGATGAGCAATGAAGGCATCGGCAGAATCTGTTGGCACATTCTCTGCGATCGGTTCAAACTGAGGCTGCCCTTTAGCACTGCTATCTTCGCTACAGAATGAAAGTGGAAACAATCAAATAGGATAGACAATGCCAGAATCGGTAGGCGTTCCAGGTGACTATACCGCGCTGGGTTGGTGATAAATCCGTGTGCCCTCACGCTCTAACGACTTACAAGCACAGAGGGCACTAGTTCTTTCAGTTCAGCACTTGCCACATTCGACAAATCCAATTAAATTGTCATTATCTATACATAGTATCAGAATCTTCACATAAACCAGTTGCAGCAACACCGTAGTTTTGCAACCAAGCGAAATCAGTTTCCCTTGCGTTCTTTGCCCCAATCGCACTTTTCGTTGTAGCCATCAATGACGCAATACCACCTGAGCCAAGCACTGGCTTTCTTTCTTTCTTGATTTAGAGCGTATTCTCAGCTTTCTGTAGGTTCAGTCGTCCGCGACCAAGAACACATCATTCCAATGGAGCCCAGACTAGAAAAAGGGAAGGAACCTATAATCTTGACCTTTTTTCAAGTCACTGACTAAGGTGGATTTGGAGATTCGAAACGCATTCTCCACAGAGATTCACCATTCCCCGCTAAGCCTACAAGGCAACCTACATCATAATGACCAGGCAGTCGCATCTTGTTTTGCGGTACCACTCACTGCCGTTTTCTGCTCACTTTTCTTACCCCCAGCAGGCTTATCATCACCGAGTTCAACTGAGCTCCCGACAGAGCCATAACCTCCCTGCAACTTGAACTGTTTCGCCTCTTTCTTAAAGGTGGTAGGTTCAGAACTCGTTGTAAGCCCTCTTCTTTACAGAAGCTCTCTTTGAACCAGAGACTGAGAGTAGCTTGAAACCCGTCCATATTATCCAAAGCTCTGTGAGTGTCTTTATTGTTTACCACTGGATATCAATTCGACAATTTCCACCTCACTTCTGATTCTTCTAGTGTCACTGTAGAATAGTATAGGTTAGTAGGATACCCCAGACCCCAATGTAACAATTGTATACTACTTCCCTTAATTTTCGTTGTTTTCTTGGTTCCAACAGCAGCTTTAAAATTTACCAAAGACACTGGACGTGTGTTGCGCGCAGGCTTGTTTTCTGCCAGCATCTCCGCCCAGATGCTATCCACATCTGTGACATCTCCGGATGGTGCCGACATTTTGTTTTTCAGCTGATTACTCTTCCTAGTGGCAATAATCAATGAATAATCAGTTACTGTAAGAAGAAGATACTGTAGCCTGAAGCCCCAGCACACCACAGTTTTAGTACCACAGTATTATAATTACTGTCTAACATTACGAACAAAGATTCCAAGTTGCGGAAGGACTTTACGAATTACGAATTGGAAAAGAACTGGGGGAGATTACAACTCGAACTTGGGGGACTACCTGCATGAAAGACTTAAAGTACTTTGGCTGATACGCCTTTTTTGCAGTAGATGAAGCGGTCCTATGATCCACCTATTTTTCTCCGCGTTCTCTCAGCACCATTTTTTTCATTCGTAAAAAAATTACAGTGAATCTCCTTTTCTACTCTCTTGCGTCTCTCAGCACCTACTATGCTACGTACTATGCACATTTATTAAGGGCTACCCACTCGCTCCTACCCACTGTCCTGCTCACTCACTATATTAACCTCAATAAAAGCCACTTCCACAAACTAGCCATTTCAGGTAGAATAGGTTGCTCTATTTCCGCCGTCACCAAGTGAAAATCCGGGTCCAAGTGCGGCTTCAAGTAGATACAGAAGCGTCAGAAAGCCAGTTGGATGTGGATGGCTCCCAACATGTTTTCCTTAAGTGTGCGCAGAAGGATTCATTCTTATTAAGTGTGCGCGTGTCGTGAGAGCATGTTTTTGATATTCATCCCCCAATTCAATTGCGTTCAGGTGTTGAAAAAAATGCGAAAAAGTACTCAATGTTGCGTGGTGAAAAAGAGTTGTAAGTCGTGTTCAAGCGTGCTGCTTGAAGAACTAGTACAAGGTACGCGTATCATTAGAAGTATTCAAATCGAAGATCGGTTTGCAAGATGCATAAAGCGGCGCCTACTTGCTCTGAGGCGGTAGGAGAAAGACGCCTTTTGCGTCAGTCCCAGACCATCTTGAAAGCTACACACTTGTAATCACTTACTACACACTTGTAATCACTTACTCCACGACGCTACGTTCACTTCGAACATTTTTCTCGGAAATATTGAAACTGACTATGCAAAGAAAGTTCGAAAAAATCAACCTTAGAGGGCGTAGGGAATTGTATTTTGACAGTTGTAAAAAGAATGACTACTACGAAACAGAACGACGGCTACTTGGCTCTTGAAAACTTGAATGCAAATCATCTCAGATCTTGCGTACAACTGCACAAATGCTTATTGCATAAGAAACTTTTTGATGAATTTAATTCAATGCATTTATAAATCATTATCATTATTCATCACTACGGCACACGTTACGTTTTGCCGAAGATGAGGTCTCGAATGCTCTGCACTTGAGCTCGATGCGTGACGAGGTCTTTGCTAGGAAGCTTAGAAGCATGACTCCACGCAAGGATAGAAACACAACTCTACAAAGTAGGGCAGTTTGTGTGCGTGTCCTCTTTGCATTTGCATTCCTCGTTTCCCTGGTGTATGTCTTGAAAACTCATTTACTTGAGGGATTCTGCTTCGTGTCAGGCAACATGCTGCTGACGTTGTGCCGTCCTCTCTTTTTCTCTTCTCCTGAACGGAGGACTTGTGGAGTACTTGTCCTCACCCCCATGCTCGTCAAGAAAGGGCCTCCTGGGAAAAACGTCGAAACGAACTGCAGATGATTCAAGAACATCCTGATGGTACGCAGCTCCAGCTCCAATACCTCCAACTGCTTCTACTTGACGAGAGTATTCTTGTTGAGCATCTCCTCCACCTGCAATTGCTTCTGCTCCTGCTACTTGACCTCGACGAGGAGGGTATTCAACATATATTTGTTGAACATGATACTCCTTACCTCCCCTTGACCTCATCGGAGAAACATCGCCATAACCTCCTCTATTCGGAAACGCCGTCGCGGGGATGCTTGGGGATTCTTCATCTTGAGCTGGAGCGTGTGAAACGTCGCCTGCGTGTCTCCCATTAGGCAGAACGTCATCTAGTGGGTACAGCGTTTGATGCCCGAGGTTTAGAACTACGACCAAAAAAGATCTTCTAAGTAGAGTTACTCTCCAGTAACTAAGAGAAGATAGTCTGATCATACTATGAAGCAAGACTAAATATCTAAGCAACAAGAGATGCCCATACTAAAGGCTTAAGAGACCATGAAAACGACAATCTAAGAGGCTCTAAACGTCTGAGAGATTCTAAACGTCTAAGAGGCTCGATTAAACATCTAAGAGACTCTAAACATCTAAGAGACTCTAAACATCTAAGAGACTCTAAACATCTAAGAGATTCTAAACACCTAAGAGATTCTAAACATCTAAGAGATTCTAAAACTAAGCTCAAAACACGAACGAGATGCCTAAAGTGATGAACTTCAATCTGAGTTGACAGCTATAACATCGAAACATTGAGAATTGAGGATATCACTAACCATAAAGATGAATCTCGAAGTTTCGAAGTTGAGTTTAAACTTAATATCCAAGCTCTAAGATATATCCAAGAATTTTCAGTTTTATTCTGTTTTAATCGAATTCAATTCCTGAGGGTGAGCTTGACAGATAAAGCTAGTCTTCAACTGCTTTCTTTCAAATCAGTCACTTTTCTAAAATATATATCAATATGAAGGACTACAGTGGGCATTATGCTCTGTAATGTCACCACATGCCAACTAATATAGAAGAACATACAGCGACCACTGATATCATCATAGCACTTTTGACATGAAGACCAAAAGTGAGACGGTGACAAACTGAGTCAGGCAATTCTAACTCAGTGTTAGCGCCAGTGGTATCCGTACCTTCTGCAATATACTGACTCACTACTTTTAGGGAGGTAATAGCACTACCACTAGTATCTGTATCCTCTGCAAACCACTTGGTCACTAGCTCAGAGGTATTAATTAATAGCACTAGAATCCAGATCAGATTTAGACTGTGTGCGAATCAATGTAATGAAGAGTCTTTACCTAGTGAGTACTTTTGATATCTAAGCACCCCGATAAGGATGATTGTGCCTAAAACTAGAGGGCTCAAAAGTGAAGAAAAATCATAGTACTGAGATGCAGTGTGACTACATCAAGGCATCCCTACATACCATAGGACGACCCTACGACAAACTCGTCCTACGTCGCGCTGTATGGTTCACTTCGATGAGATGGTGACACGCTGAGTCTAAATCTTATGGTTCACTTCAATAAGTTGGAGTTACTGGCAAACGAAGTCCGACGATGAGATGACTACTGACATCGATGAAGACAAACACTTCGCAATGGGTTACGGAGGACTACAAACTAAGTCAGTACCAACTGAGATCGATGAGAGCGATATCCTGTGTGAGTATGTACAACAAGCAACTCGAACGAAGATGCACAGCGATACCATTACCAGCTATTTGACTGTCGATTCTGTGAGTCAGTGCCGACTACTTATGTATCTATTCTTCCAACGAGGAGACGAAGTCGCCAGCCTTAAGAGATTGGGTCTCCGTGCTAGCGTCGTAGTACTAGCTCGGTGCTCACTGAGTTCGCGCTGTTGCTTCTCCATCAATGTCGACACGGGCGCAGAAGTCGCCAATTAGAAGATAGATTGATGAAGAACATCAAAGAGCTCTACTTTATAGCTGTACGGTAGAACAACAAGAATCCAGCTAGATCTACTATCAGATAGTGATGCCAGGACTGACAGACGAGAAAAATGAAGAAGACCTGAGCGAAGAACTGAAGCTGATGCTTGTCCTACTACTGACAGACAAGAAAGCCGATTCATTGTCATCGAAGTTCACGCTTTCCTACATGCTTCGCCGTGTTGGTGATCTGCGTCTGCAGCTTACTCTAGCTAGTACTGCTCAACAACCTGTAAAAGTTGCTGGCACCAACACCAAGCGTTTGCAGTTGAATGACACATATGCTTACTTCTAACACAAGAATCAAGATCGCAGGGACCTCTTCCATGATGCTGCACTTCTTCCTCTCATCGACCTGCAGCACTTGCACTTGCGTGCACATTCTGACTCTTCTTCATCTCGCCATAAGAGGAGATAGAAAAATGGTCGCTGATGTTGTCCTGGCCCAGAAACGCTGTTCGTCCTGATGAAGCTGGACTTGCTCCACTCGCCTACCCTCCAGCCGTCCCCAACGTCTCGAAGCCTCTACTTCTACCAAAAGCGAATCTCTGAGGAATGTGTAGCATGTGCCGCGCTGTAGCCCGGTGGGGTCCCTCTGCTCCACAGAGGAGCTCCGCTTTATGCTCATGCGAGTCTGATGCTGATGTACTACTAGGTACTTCAGCATCCACTACATCTTGTTGCGCTACGTCTTCATCTACATGTAGCTGTGCCAAATCTTCCTCTTCTTTGTCTTCGCCATGATTTCCAATTTCACCAAGGGGCGACTCCTGTACTCGTTCGTCATGCTGACAGGGCGACTCCTGTCCTTCACCATCTAGTACGGGGACTGGGCCTCCTTGGTCTAACACCGCAACGCGATCTTCTGGCTCGCCTTGCCGCTTATGAAGTCAATAAAGGGGATCACGAATGTATGACGCTGATCAAGTAGTTAGCAAGAATCGCAATGAGGAACAAGAGGGTGCTGGAGTCTAGATGGCTGTAATGATAACGCGTATCGTAAAAAACAGGACGAGTACGTCGTTGATTATTATGCCGAGAAACGTGACTAAGAGTACAGTCCGGATGACCTCTATGCCTATGGAAATCCAGCTAATCATCAGGATTGTGCTGATGGCTATCAGGACGAGGACAATGGAGCTAGTTACTAAGACAACGACGCGAAGAACGAAATGCGGACGCATATAGCAAGAGGGGTCTCAGTAGAGATAGTGAGAGGCCTACGTAGAGACACCTAAGTCCAAAGAGGTCCTACAGCTCCAGTAAGAATCACTCAAACTATCTAACCTCAAATCAGCAGAAAGCTATCTCCTGATGAAATTCGAGCTCAACCTTAATGGAGAGCTGCACTATCTAAAACTTGACACATAAGGCTGACATCACTTAACATAGGGAACCTCTCAGAGTCGTCAAGTTTCGAATTCGAATTCAGAACTAATCTCCAAACTTCGAGACATATCCAAGAATTTTCAGTTTTATTCTGTTTTGATTGAATTTAATTCCTGATAGTGAGCTTGACAATCAAAGCTAGTCTTCGTTTGTTTTCTCTCAAGTCTGTCACTTTTCTCAAATTCCTACCAATTTGAAGGACTATATGCCCTACAGTGTCACCAAATGCCATCGATAGAAGGCACAGTGAGCATTGATATCATAGCACTTTTGATTTGAAAACCAACAGCGAGCTACTGACAAACTGAATCAGTTGAAGCTTAGACTTAGTAGCGCCAGTATCTGTATCTTCTGCAATATACTGACTCATTATCTCAGGGGTAACAGCACTGGCATCCGTCTGTATCCTCTGTAACATGCTGACTCACTATTTCAGAGACAATAGCGCTAGTATCTGCATCCACTGAAAAACACTGACTCACTAACTGAGGGGCAATAGCACTAGTATCTGCATTCCCTGAAGTAAAACACTGGCTCACTAGCTCAGGGGTAACAGCACAAGAATCCGGAGCCGATTCAGATCATCTTTCTCTCGATGTAATGAAGAGTCGCTGTCTTGCAAGCAGCCTAATTCTCCTCGTTTAGTAGCAACTTTTTTCTTCCTCTACCAAGTAGAATAACTTGCAAGTTTCTCCTTGCGGTCTTTGGCTCTTAGTCACTCAGTAGCTGATGTCGATTATGTAAGTTGCGAGGAGGTAAAAAGTGACGCTTTGAGTCTTGTGTCAGCTACGTACTAGGCTGCATAGGCAGCTGCAGCTTCTTCACCTAGAAAAATCATAAGGACGCTGATCTTGGTCACGACGCACGAAGAGCAGCTGTCCGCTTCTAGTTGAAGGCAGCCTCTTCATGTAGTTAGGGTCGTAGTCAGTCGCTGAGGTCCAGTTTTCGACCACGATTGTGCTTCTTCCACTTTCCTCTTCCTCAAAGCGCTTCAAAAATGTGATATCCAGCAACGCTTTCTGCCTATGATCACGGTTTCCCACGCATCGAGGACTTAGAGCAAGAAAAGAGAACTTGATCACATATCGGAGGACGAAAGCACGAGAAGTTATACTATCTAAGTCTATCATTAACTTGCTAGAACTAGAGACTGTGACATCCCACCTCCTCTTTGATGCCCGCACTAATTTCACTTCTACTAATCAAAATTTAGGAAATCAGCATCAAGTTCATTTGAGTCGACACTTCTCCTCCTCCCTGCCCGAAGAAGTAAGTAAACCAGACTTTTTTAGAGTATTGAGATGAATAAACCACGTGAACTAAACGCTATCATTTGACTTCGTATTCTACTCGTGGATCTCAACCTCCAAATTGAGTAAGAAAGAAGAGGATCATTGCCGTTGAGTCTATTTCTCTTCTACTGCCGTAAATGACAGATCTGCAGCTCTCTAAGGGGAGCCGTCCACTGGTACGCAACTCCACAAGTGTACTTCGCGTCTGAATGCAGTTTTCCAGACTGCACTCGATTGCCACTCTGAAGCGAATCTAGGAAAGGCATCTCCTCTAGGGCCGCTCCCTCTTCAGCCGCTCCTCTACTACGCGAGACCTTAGATGCATCTTCAAAGTTTTGAAATTATCCGCCCAGACCTTCTTAGAACAAGAGCTGGGCCTTCTTCTTGGAGGAGCGGAATATTGATGATTCGAATTTATTCGACTGGTGAAGGTGAAGTTGATCCTGTTATAGAATGAAGACAATGGAATGAAGTATCATTGTGAGGATGACAGTGATTAAGGCTACGAAATACTAATACGGAAATAGTAGCTACTCCTAGTTACTCTAGCAAGGTGAGCATGGACAGACAAACTAGAATCAATGTAATGTCAGCATAATGATGACAATCTAACTCCACAGATTTTACTGCGCTACACTACGTAAACTACCAGTGTCGCCGAATGTAATGTACACATAAAGCTGTATTGGGGCGCAGTGTCCCGCATATCTCGGCTTCCATCCACGAGAGTGGCGAAGGCACTCGCAAATTGCGTCATGATCGTTTTCAGCAGTATATTAGACGCAACGACAAGGACAACGCAACACAATGCTATAAATCTGGCACAGAGTACAGCGCAGACAGCCCCTCCCTTTTTTCCATTCCACGAAGTCTAACACTAGCTAGCATACCAGCTCCTAGACTATGCGATGCCCTGCACCCTTTGACTTTTGGAACATCTTTCAGCACGACTTTTCACAACAAGTAGAAACGGGCTAATTAATGCTGTGAGAGAAAGATGGGTCGACGACCTTGACAGTAGGACCCTGCTTACTTAAATATGGAACGAATGGAACGAGTGTTCGTCGCCGCATTCTTGCTCCCGCTATTCATGATCCACGAGCCAGAAGATGCTGAAGTAGCTGGTGAGGAAATCTTGAAACTACTGAGAGTGATCCTCGAAGAAGAGCTAGAAGAGGATGCTGAAGGAACTTGCATGTTGACGCTTTTTGAAGTTGCTGTAGATGTTGCTTTTACTCGTTGTAGAGCTTCATCTTCCCTTGCTGCTTTGAATAGCTGTAAGTCGTCGCCGTCAGAAGTGCTGCTCTTTGCACCAGAAGAAAGAGATGCTGACGCGAGAAGACATGACGCGACTACGTAGACGAGTAGAAAGAGCGAGATCTGCAGGAGGAACAGGAACAACAATTCTCGCCAATGTCGTCGTAGATGTAAAGCTGAATCGAAAGCCCATCTTGGAATACTGTCCAGGCCCATCTGCTTGTAGGTCCTGGCATCCTCTTTTCTATCTTTACTTCCCGAACAAGCGGAATACGACGATCGCCCACGGGACTCCTGAGCCTCCATTTCCAACAAAGACGCCCTTGCACCTCCACGACTAAGAAGAGAAGGCTTTCTTTTGGATGATTTTTCCAGCACCCGATCCTCGGAGATCACATCCTCAGCATGGCCATCTTCATCTCCGCCTGCTCTTGTCCTCACCTGACAAGGCAGAAGATGCTCCCCTCCTCCATCCTCGTCACTGCTTGATGAACCAAGATGCATGCATGCGTCTCTGTCGTCAACAACTTTCCTTGAAGATGAGCCAAGAATTGCAGTTGTATTTCTACCCAAGAAGTCTTGGTCTTCATGCTCCTCATTCTTGGCTTCCAGATCGACGAAGCTCGAAAGCTCCATACCAGAAAGCATCTCACGTTTTCGTTTTCCTCTCCCAGGTAGTGCAGGCACCAACTCTTCTTCCTCAGCATCGTCATCAAGCACAGCGTTTTTCTTGCTAATGATGCGACTAGAAACATCGCTCCAGGCCTGACTAACCGTCGTGCTGCGTCTCTCGCCTTGTCATTTTTTAGAAGACCGGCACTATCCTTCTAGCCTTCTACGTGCGCCTTTGATGGGACCAATGCCTTCTACTTGCACCATTGATGGGACCAATTCCAGCCTTCTACTTGTTGAATTTCTGTAGCCTCTTGTTGATTTTCTGTAATATCATCCTGGCCTTAAGGATTTTCCGTATCCAGGAAAATTGAGGACTCTCTACCACCTTTATTTCCGGAAAGGCCATTCCTGCGAAGGTCCTCATCAGTACCCAGAAGCGACGTCGCTGTAGTTCGTCGGCCCGCCAAATTGTAGTTTGACGTACTACAAGAACTGTGATGTCTTAGACCTCACCCTGATCCATCTTGAGAAGCATCTTGCTCCCCTTTTCCCGTTGGAAGAAAAGGCTCCTCGCCGGGATGGATGCTTCAGACGATGGACTAGGGTAAGCCCTGTATGTCCTCTTACTCTCTGAATCATGGCAGGACCTCCTTCACCTTCCCGTTGTTGCCTGCTCTTGAACATTTCAGTCTTGCTCTCTATCATAGTTGTACTCAACGTAGATTAATAAAGGTTGAAGCCTTTCACTTTTTCAACTAGTAGCAATCTCATTAAATAAGGAGGCTGGCATGTAAAAACGAAATGCTTCAACCCCTCAGCACATCGACGCCGCTTGTCGGTGCTGCATCGACGTGGAGGAGAGGGAGAGGAGTCAAACTCCATAAAAGAGGACAAATTTTGGAGCTCATCCACCTCTGCCCCAAAATCTGATGTGCTCGTTTCCGAGCCTATACGGATCGACGTCTTGTTTTAGTCTACTTCAAGATGCGGATGTATTGAGTGTGAACAGAGGTCAACGCGAGGAAAGCGAGTGTGAACGTGAATGTGGACAATTATCTAGATTTACCAAGCAAGATGAACAATTACTCGTTTAATTATACAATGAGAATGACGTGGCAACAAATACATAGAAGCAGGCGAGCAAATGATCTTGTTGTTCATACTAGACAACCTAATAACCGCCGAATTTGCTCGTGCTGCCTTCTTCGTTTCCTCCGATCAAGGACGTGAAATGATCCATCGCCCATCACATGAAGAGCAAGAGACGATGATCGCGATCAACAGAGAGTATGTGAGATCTTCTACATCCTACAGGATCGACATCACCGAGTAGAACACCACCACACCACGCGACTTTCGAACTCGAAGTACCTCATGATAGATAGATGCTGTTAATATATATCCAACGCTGCTCCAGCACAGCTTTTTTCACATTAAGCACTTTACACGCAAGAAAGGAGAATAGACGTATATCGCTTGAGGAGAATGCAGTGAGAATACAGTACAGGTATACACCTTGCCACAATGGGCAGCATCGGCCTGAAAGGATGAAAAATGATCATGCATCTACTGGTACCCAAGAGAAGCAAAGAATTGGAGAAGTCTTACCTGATTCTTTGCGAACGTCAGGAATTGAATTCGATAAAGATGAGATATAACTGAAAATTTTGTGAAATTCTAGAACAAGCGCGCAAACTCACACGAAGTCTAGACTAAAACAAGACTAATACCAAACAAAAGGAACGAAGAGCAGTCGTCAGGAAATGAATTCGGAAAAGATGGCGTAAAACTGAAAATTTAGAGGCTCTACTTTCAAACTCAGACTTGGATGTTCAAAGTTTGGCCAAATCTCCAGAGTGGCTTCGTCAGTGAGGAGGGCAGCCCGGCATGATTATTTCTTAGACGGCTTCAGGTGCTGGTAGTTGCTTTCATAGGAGAATCGTCAGGCTCCTAGCGCCCTAGCTGTGATCCCGTGCTCGTTGTCATCTTTTCGTGAAAAAGCTACTTCCCCTCGTAAAGCTCACATATACCGGCGCCGAGTGTACTACCTGCACTCGCAGTTCTTGTACCTTGAAAAAACTACTCACCGCCACCACAATTTCACGAAAATGAGTTCAAGCTTTTTCACTGCGCGCAGGCGGGCTTTCGACTCCACCTCGCTCCCGGAATCCAGACAATTCCCACCTCTGCTGTAGATTTTCACCTCTGCAAGGCGTCGACCTCTGCTGTAAATTTTCAACCAAGAAGGCGCCAACGGATGATGCGCCAACATGTGATGTCGATGACATCATCTTCCTCAACCAAAAAGACACCAAAAGAAAAACTTCTACCCAAGTCAAAACAAGCCACCCTGGAACTAGAAGTGCGAGCCCTTCTTATTCCACCACAGTCGCTAGGCCCTTGACATGACCAAGACAAGCAAATATCGTCGAGGAGGGACCTTGATGACCAAGTCAACCAAGCCACCCTATACTGTATGGTGAAAAGTGCCCTTTGTTATCCTCGAGTAATAACCTTCACGACCAAGACAAGCCACTCTATATCAGTTCCCTTTCTTATAGTCCCGGATGCCCCGTTACGTCTCGTAAAGCTTTAAGAAGTCGTAGATGCGCAACTCTTCGAAAATTAGAAACTTCAAGAAAAAAGTAGTGCTCCCTCCGCACTTCCAAGACGCCTCTAAGCGGATGATATATGGATAGACAAGTAAATAAGCTGTAGACAAATAGGTAGTTAGACAAGTCGGCACTAGCTGTAGACAAGTACTAGGCAGATAGAGAAATGGGTAAGTCGACAAGTCGGTAGTTAAGCAAAAAGTCGCTCCCCCCTTCGCGCATCCAGTTGAAGTAAACGCATGCATTGACTCCTGATATCGCCTTTCGTGACGAAGGTGCGCGCTCTTTACTCTTGGAAAGTACTTACTGCTGTAGAAGAAATAGAAAGCTAAGTCTGAACCTTCTTCATCAGCAGCTCGAGAAACGGGCACTTCCTCGCGTAGATGTCCGCAATTTACTGCCTGTCTCTTGTAAAAAGAAGCCTGCCTCTTGACGAATAGAAGAGACTGCTCCTGATATAACAAACGCAAATACCTTCGCTGCGCCTCTTGCTCTTGGTGTCCTTGTTTCTCTTGGCGTCGTTTACATTTTCATCCAAACAATTCGCATTTTCCTTCCTCCTCAACTTCCTACGCTTCCAACTGCGAGAGCTCTTCGTGGATAGTCGTCTTGTCACAAATCACCGTCGTGCGAGTCTTAGGCCCATTCACTCACTCATGAGCGAATCACGTGGCAACCTGAGCTGCCTGATTCCGTAGCGACCCCAAGTATGGAATCCGTGCCATAATAGAAGGCCCACGACAGACAAGACTCTTTGCTTAAGGTCAGGCTCTTTTTTTTAGGGCGACGCCTCTCCTACCACGCCCTGCGCGTCGTTTCAAGTAGAGTCAGTCTAAGTCAATACTTCTATGTGTGTCCTACATGCCACGATCGGTCTCCTTTCACATTCGCGGTAAAACTAAACTCACACTCTAGGTGGGCTTAATCCCGATTCTGAGTAGATAGGTAGAAGCTTAGCTTCGCGCGCAATATCCTTAATATTGCTGAGTTGGATTGGGAACCCGTTTGCACTGCGAAATAAGGCCTTGTGCTTGCGAGACTGCGCATCCCACTTCCTGGTCCCGACTTCCTGGTCCCGATGTGATTTATGTCCGTGGATGTACATCAACCCTGTCGTGCTATTACTCACTCGCGAAGGAACCTCTCGCAGGGGTTCTTCGTGGACTTAGAGCTAGATGACTCGCACGCAGGCTATTAAGGTAGGAGCAGTATACTATTCCACCTGGTACAAATATGGCATCTGTTTCCTGTAAGCTGCATAAGGAACCCGATTTCTGAACTAGTCAAAAGATAGCTTATTAGAGGTCTGAACCTTCAGAAAATTAGCTTTCTGAAGGTCAAAAGTCTGAAATCTTCGAAGTCTAAACATTTGGAGGTCTCAAACCTTTGATACTATTACACCTTGACAGTCTAAAGCGCTTGAAAGTCTCAAATTTGTGACATCTTAGACGCATGCATCTCGAAAGGCTTAGCTTTCTAAAGGTTCAAAGCCTAGAATTCTAAGAGCCTGAAGCTTTCATAGTCTAAGTTTTTGAGTCTGTCCCTATCATGACATTCTCAAAGATTCAGCTTTTCTAGAATCTTGAACCCATACAGGCTCCAAATTAACTGTAAGAGCTAAGAAAACTGACCAAATCCAACATCTGTAGAAGCAGACAACGAATAGACCCTCAGAAAATGAATCTGGAAAAGATGAGATAAATTGAATACTTTTCGAGGATTAAGAAGAAATGACGCAAATTCAATTTCAGTCTTCGAAAGAATTCTGACTGTATCTCGTTCTAATTCAATTTAGATCCATGCCAACGCCTTTTACGCGTTCGCACTCCTACCAGTTGGTGGTCCCTAGTGTAGTCTATACACACACCGACCTCAGCCCCATCAGGAAAACGGCTACTCTGTAGAGCTGGTCTATGATACTGCTCGACGTACCACAAAGAGACGCTTCGTCCTCGTCTTCTCCTGAGTGACATCCTTCTGAGTTACAGGCTGGACCTCTATTGCTTCCTGCCCATGCTGTGAATGAAGTTCTTCTCAGTGCAGTTCTTCTGAGTGCAGTTTTTCTGCATGAAGTTCTTCTGAGTGCAGGTTTTCTGCATGAAGTTCTTCTGAAAGAAGTGTTTCTGAATTGCAAAGGCCTGTATATCCTGAGTGAGGTTCCTTTAACTAAATAGCAGGTCCATAAGCTCGCCAAAATTACTCCTCATTCTGCTTGTCTTTCGTTGCTTCTCCCGCTCCAAGGAGCAGTCTGCTAAGGCGTCCAGCAAATCACTTTCCAATCGCGCGAGGTCCAATCTCGACAGGGAGAAATTGGCTGTGCCAAGTTCCGCGAAAAAATAACTGTACCCAGATTTATGGTATAGTAGTCAATAGTAGAAGAACTGGGCCAAGACAACAAGTTGCTGTAGCTGCTTCTTGATCATGCGTACAGCTCGTTCTGGTCGCGTATTCCTTCCGAGGAGCTTGCGCTACTATACTATTTCAAAAGGAGCTCTCTTATAAATAAGTTAGTAGTATACCTGCAGAGCAGTGCAGAGTCCGCATCACAACTGAACTTGCACAAGGAAG